GTGGAACAACAAAATGATACTCTCTGGTTTGGCTCAATGGGTAGAATGTAGGACTATACACAGGAGGGTCACAGGTTGGATTACCACCAGTACAACGGCACATACCTAGGTTTCGGGTTCCATCCTGGCCCAGTTTGGGGCACGTGTGGAAGGCAACCAATTGATATGTCTCTTGCATGGATGTTTTCTCACTCGCTCTCCCCTTCTTCCCTACTACAAAAAAAAAAAAAAAAAAAAATCAATGGAAAAATATCATTGGGTATTTGGATGTTACTTTCTCTCTCCCTCTCTCTAAAATCACTCAATAAATTAAATTTTAAAACACTGGCAACTAATTTAGTTTTAAAAATTAAGAAAACAGCATGAATCAAACAAAATATACTCTCAATTAGCTTGCGCCCTCTGCTTTAAGTCACAGAGAAATCTGGACTAAATGAAACAACAAGTTGGAAGGATGGGAAACCTCACATAGAAGATTAGCTTGCTCACCAACCACCTCCTTTTAACATCCCACGCTCAGGGATCTGCGAGAAGGGAAATGTTACCAGTTTCTCTAACCTTGCCAAGCATTGAAAGAACAAGTCATTCCATGACACGTGGGGAGTAAGAATTTCAAAGCTTGTTTGCATGGGTAGAACAGAATAAATTATCATTAAAATGTACTCATGTTAGGCAGAAAATGGGAGAGAGAAACACGAGGTAATGAGAGAATACCCATGCTATGCTAGGCTGTGTTGAATGTCATATATTATTTATTTCTCTACTTGTTTCCTGTCTGTTTTAGACACAATCCTAAAGCAGGATTTCGTCTTTCTTGTTTACACTGTTCCGGCCCCTCATTGCTTGGCTTATACCAGTCTATATAGTGCCTGAACACAGCAAGCACTCAATAAATATTTCTAAAATGAATGAATGAATCTCAGTCATTTTTCATTATACCGACAAGAAAGCTAAGACTCAAAGAGAATATACTATTTGTTCAATGTCATTCAGCTACTAAAACCAGAGGCAGGAAATAAGCCTACGTTTCTTTTCACTAATTTTACCATCTGAAATTAAATGAATACCCAACTATTTAAGCTCCTCTTTGTTGTGCGAGTGGGCAAACTGCTCTAAAAGATCCTAGAATTCTTCTCTTCATATTCTGCTATTTGGAGTTTAATGGCAGCAGGGTTTTCCATTCTATCTTCCAACAAAGCTTCTAAGAATGCACTTGCCATGTAGTACAATGAGATTTTTAAAAACCTATACAACACAGAAAGGAAAGACTCCCATAAATTCCTAATCCTCAAATTAGATTATTTTTACGTTGTGCTGAAGGAAACCTTGTGTCCCTATGGATTTTCCCTCAGATGCCATATTGCTATTTATCAAAAACTATTGATAAAAGAAAAAGAAAAACCCCATGAGCCTGGTGTAGTTGAAATTGGAAACTATACATCTCTACTGCATAAATTGGTATGATCCATTTGGAAAAAAATATATAGCAACATAAAATGAATCATAAAAATGTTCATGCCCTATAATCCAGCAATCTCACCCTAGGGATTTATCCAGGACAAGTTATTCAATAGGAGAAAAAAAGTATATATACACAAATAAAACAAAATACATGAGAAAATGGCTTAGTGAATTATAGTATTGCTAAAGACAAATCACTCTTCAGCTGTTAAAAATAATAATCATAGCCCTGGGTAGGTAGCCTCGTTGGTTGAATCATCCTGTACACCAAAAGGTTGTGGGTTTGGTTCCTAGTCAGGACACATACCTATGTTGGGATTTGATTCCCAATTGGGGAATGTATGGGAGGCAACCTATTGATGTTTCTCTCTCACATCCATGCTTCTTTCTCTCTCTCTCCCACTTCCTGTCTAAAATAAAAAAAAAAATTAAAAATCATGAAGACTGGGTAGTGAGACAGAAAAATATCACAGAATTACATGAAAAGTAGAATGCAAAAGGATTTCTTTACTGTGATCATCAGCTTTGCAGATAGCTACATCTCCATGTAGATGAGAACTAAAAGGTAGTAGTCATGAAAACAGCATTGTAGGATATTATGATTTGAGATGTTTATACTTATATTTTTCCCTCCAAAATTTTTTAAATGTTTTACTGTCTTTTCTATTACCTAAAAATTTTTAAGCTGTTTCTGAAACCAATTTGGATTTCTAAGTTTTGCTCTGCTTCTCACTTAGAACAGAAATCTGACTCTTCTCATCTTAAATTAACAATCCTCTAGTTGAAGAAGGAAAGCAATATAATATTTCCAAATGTCCAAATCTAAAGATGAAGAGCCAAAAAACAAGGCTGCATCCATTCATGCTGTTGCTGCTGCCTGAAGGATTGCTGATATACTCAGGAATCCAGAGAGGAGAGGAGGAGAGAGAAATCACCAGAGTTCTCTTCAGAGTGGCAGTGTGCTAACAAGCCCCCTTGGAGACAGATAGTAGGGTAGCAAAAACTTTTACCTGCCTCACCAGATTGCTGCCTTGCATGCTCATCTTTCACAGGTATTTTCTAAGGCCCTGACTCTCTGGGAAAGCCCAGGTGCCTGACATGTCACAATGTCATGCTCTAGTTCAGAACAGATGTCACAGAGAAGGACATCTCTCAGCAGTCATGGCCAGTGTGCCTGACAGGAAGGGATAGGTCACTTAATGCCTAATGTCTGAAGGTCACTCAATTATAAAGACAACAGAACTCAGCTTTGTTTGCTCTCCCAGGGCTGGTCAACCTAGGGAAACTGACCCACACTGACAGCCCTATGTGAGCCTTTTGTTGAAGCTACCTGACTGTCTTGTAAAGGAGAGGAAGTTGGCTGAAAACATGAGCCAGATAACCACTCAGGGCACCCCCTACCCTGGAGAGAAAACCAATGAAAAGAATGTTAGGTGAGCAAATAACCCAACACACAGTGTTGGCCCACTCAGAGAGGCCGTCCATTCAGTCAGGTGGCCTGACGGGATGTGGCTCCTCTACAACCAAGGAACTGGCAACACTGTCCAGAAGCAGTGTCCCATCACCCAGAGCCCTACCTCCACCTCTGGACAGTCTAGGTCCATGCGACAGGACACCTTTCATTCCCAAAGCTCTACCTAGCTTACCTTAATTCACAGAGCATCGATCCAGGGTAGTTTCCAGTTAGCTCAGCTCATCCCTTATCCACTTACTGGCCAGTTTTTGTTTTGTTTAGTTTTTGTTTTTGTTTTTACTGGCCAGTTTTGATGTCAAATAGAGACGATCTCATCTTGGGCCTCGCCCTGCATCCTCAAGGACCCTCTTTCTGCTGGTCATAGGCCCTGTATGGTTAAGGACTGAAGGAGTGATGAAGACCATAATGCTGTGAGGTCAGAGAGGTTATGGTCACTGAGTTGAGGGGAGGGGAGGGAGGCAGGGGAGACTGAAGGCTAAACTATATTAGCAGCTCCCAGCCTCTGGCAAGTCACTCAACTTCCTGTGCCTCAATTTTCTCATTCATAAAATGGGACTGACAGTGTTGACTTCTCAGACAGATGCCTTTTGTAAACTGCAATATGTATTTGGCTATTATCACTGTGGACTGGAATGTTCCGAGAAGAAGCAGATTACAAGGTGGGCCCTAAGGTTAAGGAAGATTCAGGATACATGCTCAGGAAGAGGATGAGCACTACAAGCTTGAGAAATGGCACAAGCAAAAAGGCAGAAGAGAAGTACCAAGTTTGGCTACAGTAGAAAGCTTGTCTGGGAGAAGCTGATATAAGGCTGGGAAGGTACTGCTGGATTCAGTTGGTGATAAGAGATACTGACCTTTTTCATCAAGTAAGTGATAGGAAGAAAGTCATGTTTTCAAAGATTAACTTGGCAGAGGTATTACGGATGGAGGGAGTGGAGGTTAGAATGCAGGCAGGGTGATTACAGAAGGGTGCTGAACTCAAGATACCAGCTATGATGAGGGCCTTAATGAATGAAGGCAATGGCACAAGAATATGGTGACAGGGAAGATAAGTGTATTCATTCTCTTAACCATTTGTTGAACATGTACTACATGCCAGGAACTGGGAGTGCATGGATAAAAAATAATCCTCGAGGCTTTAAGAAATTTGGCCTAGTATGGGCGACAAAAGTGGACCAACAATTATGTAAGAGCTATGTACTAGATTTTGTGGTGGCACAAGTAAAGGGAGCAACTATGAATAGGTCAAAGAAGTTTCACAAGACAGGTTGAGCAGGGGTTCTCTGATCCAAGGCAGGGAGGTAAGGGTGTCTGTATATGGGGAGTTAGGGGGAGGGAAAGATTGTCATCAATAAGTCCAGTTCTGGAGAAAATTTACATGTGGGTGGTAAGAAAATTTACAATACCTGGATAAAAAGAGACTGTAAAGCAACCAGGCATGTAGGTCCCTGAAGAATAGCAGGTACAAACTGAGAAAGCCTTAGCTTATAGCACAAAGGCAAAGGGAAAAGGAAGACCCACGCGCGTTCACTAAGCGGGGGATGGTAGAGACATTCAGGAAAAGACTTCCAAGGCAGTAGGGCGAGACACTGCCTGGACACGCTGAGAGTCCCTAAATACAGGGCCTCAAGGCTCCTCCCCGCGGCCGGCCGGGCGGGAAGCAGAGGAAGCGATGGCTAACGCGGGGCGGAGCAGGCCTCTAAGACCAGGGCGAGGCGCGCGGCGGCGCTCGCGGCTTCGGGGATTGACGCGGAGCCGAGCCGCGGCGGCCCAGCACGGCTCCTGGGCCATGGCGTCAGGAAAAGGGCCCGGCCCACAGCGCCCCACGTCTGATTCCGGGACAACTCTCGGCCTCCGAGCCCGAGCAAAGGGCGGGCTGCACGGAGGACGGTTCCCGGCGGCCAAACCAGCACAGGGACTGCGGCGACCCCCCACGGGACAACGAAGCCCGAACGCGCCCTAGGCCCGCCCTCCCCGGTCGGAAGTGACGACATTGGCTCCGCCCCCGCGTCCCATACCTCGCGAGACTTCCCAAAGGCCTCCCTCTTGCAGCTCGGCCACCGACATGGTAGGTTATTCTTGTCTCGCCTCCCCTTCCACGCTGGCACACACCGCGATCTCCGCTCGCTTTGCACCCCAGCCACCTGCCCTGGGCCTCAGCCGGCTCCTCCTGGTCGCGCATGGCGGGTCGCAGGGCAGGCGGCCGGCGTGGGCCCGGATCCCCGGCCGCGTGTTCGGCCTGGGGCTGGGCTCTGAGGCCGGCGGGCCGGGGCGCCGGGGCGCCGCCCGGAGGAGGCCACATGGCCCGATCCGCTTTCCTGAGAGCGGCGCTAGACAGATCCCTCATCTCCAGGCCTGCGGGCCCCTCGCAACCCGGCCAGCGTCGCCTCTGCCCCGCGCGTTTCTTAGGCCTTACCCCAAGCACCTTTTCCCACACAGCCATCCCGACTCAGGAAGACCCGAAAACTTCGGGGCCACGTGAGCCACGGCCACGGCCGCATCGGTGAGTACCAGCATCCCATCCTGGTCGGCCTTGGGCTCTCCCTGCCTGGAACTTGGCTCGTCGAGAGGTAGATACGGTAGCTCTGAAGTGGGTTAGTAGGAGTTTTGTGCAGCCCGGCCGGATAGAGCCTGACCTTTTTGAGAATCCTTTAGTGTTTCTCTTGCGGAGAATATCATCGGTAGGGGGCAGGGGGGGTGGAAATTGAACGGGGCACAGCCTAGTGCTGCGCAGAGATGCTTCAGTCGGAGTCTTGGAGGAATAGCAGTGCTGAGAGGGGTATTGTAGATTGGGAACGGCAGCGGCCTGTGGGAGGCTGTGTTAGCCATGGAACTCTCTAATCTTCCAGGCAAGCACAGGAAGCACCCGGGGGGCCGCGGTAATGCTGGTGGCTTGCATCATCACAGGATCAACTTCGACAAATAGTGAGTTTCTTGGACTATTTTACTGACAGTTTGGAGTTAAGGGTGGGAGTAGGAACTAGGGGGGAGGCTGGCTCCAAGGATCTTAAATGGGAAGCGAGCCTCTTAACCAGCACAAATCTTGCCTGTTGTTGGCTTTTACCAAGGTAACACTTCATGTGAACTGAGAAATTTGTCATCGAGGCTAGAGTCACGCTTGGGTATTTGCTATTGCCTTAGTGTGCTAGAGTCCTCGAAGAGCAACTGCTACCCTTATTCACTGGCTGTGGTCCCCCAATGGCATAGTCAGTCACCAGGCTAGTGACATGCACCAGATTGACCTGTACATCTGTTAGATTCACGGATGCCCTCAAATTAGGGGGGTGGTATTTTCAACTATTTGATTAGTGGGTTTCTATTCAGTGAGAGATGTTTTATTAAAAAAATGGCTGGAGTGGAATATCTGTTAAGGCATGGTTCTACACTAAGGTGACCAGACGTCCCGCTTTTGGCGAGACAGTTTCGATTTTTAACAATTTGTCCCGCGCCCCACGGCTTTTTTTTTATTTTTGTTTTTAAAGTCCTGATTTTTTTGGAAAGAATCTTAAAATCTGGACGTCTGGTTACATTATTCTACAACCATTAACAATTTACACTGTAATAGGGGAGATGGATTATAAAGATTGATAAACATAACTTCTTAATTGACGTTGTGAAAGTGGTTGTTTTCTCTTCCCAGTCACCCAGGTTACTTTGGGAAAGTTGGTATGAGGCATTTCCACTTAAAGAGGAACCAGAGCTTCTGCCCAACTGTCAATCTTGATAAACTGTGGACCCTGGTCAGTGAGCAGACGCGGGTAAATGCTGCCAAAAGCAAGACTGGAGTTGCTCCCATCATTGATGTGGTGCGATCGGTGAGTAAATTAATATTTGCCTTATATGGGTCCTTACCTCTCCTTGACTCTTGAGTAACCTAATCTACTAGATCTCCCACCTGAGCCCCATACCCAATTCCTTACTAGACAGTTCTACCTTTGGGCAGAATTTCCAGAGGTAATTCTCTGACCAGAAATGAACTCCAGTTCAATTGTGACTAACAAAATATTTGAAGAGTAATTCCTTCTACTCTTCATTCTTTCAAGTACTTTAATCTCATTTCTACTGTTATTGTCCTGGTTTGTACAAGTTTGCAATTCTCACCTAAAGTTACTGGCAATATCTTAGCTCAACTGGCTCTGGTTTATTTTACACAGGTCTACATTAGGCATCGCTATTGATCTTTCATGTTCCCTACAGAATAAAATCCTTATATGCTTTAATTACGATTTAAGGCCCTATATTATCTGAAGAGCTATCCCCCCCCCCCCGTTACCCCCCCAAAATCCCACCCAAGCTTTTTTGTATTCTAAGTCTTAACCTCCCATGGGTATAGAAGTAGTCTAAACCTTTCAGTTAAGTATTAAATTCCCCTTCCCAGTCTGTTTACCATACCATGAACAATTCTGATGATCTGGACCATTGCTAGGGATGTGGTTTTCCTTTTTTGCTTATTAGATGGTAATTGAGTGGAAAGGGGGGGGGGTGTTTGGCTTTGCCCGAGACTAGAGTCACATCTTGACAGCTATTGTCCTGGTGTGCTAGAGTTCTCGGAGAGAATCTGCTGGTCTTGATTCACTGACTGAGGGCCACCAGTGCCCCCAGGCAGTGCCCAGATCAGAAACATCGACTTCCCAGCTCCTAGATGAAATGGGTTGTCTGTCACCTTTCCTCATACCCATTAGGAAGTTAATACCTGCCATAGTATAGTGTGTTATAACCCTTTTCTCTATCCTAGGGCTACTACAAAGTTCTGGGGAAGGGAAAGCTCCCAAAGCAGCCTGTCATTGTGAAGGCCAAGTTCTTCAGCAGAAGAGCCGAGGAGAAGATTAAGGGTGTTGGTGGGGCCTGTGTCCTGGTAGCTTGAAGCTACGTGGAGGGAAGTTCCATTAAAATGTCCAAGTACCTTTGTCTTTTGGTCTGAGTGTAGGTCCTTTGGCATCTGTATTTCCCTACCTGTAATTCCAAAACCTCCCTAACAGGTTCTAGGAGTTAGGGTATCAAGGCCTGGGTTCTTCTGCAAACTTCCCTGAGAAAGAAAGAGGCCTTGGGACCGATACCTGACTTGAACTTTTCATTTATAAAGTGAAAATGATACCTGTTGGTAACGTGTGTAGATAAGTATTAAATAGTTGAAAGGTCTGTATACTCACAATTCACAATGAGTGTCCTTAACTGTTCCAGTGGTTCCATGGGGCTCAAAAGGACTCAGTACTGATGGGGCATGGTCTACAGAAAGGGAAAAAGGAGTGATAGGACTGAGGCTATAACTAGGGAGATAATTCCTGAGCCCAAGATTTTTTCCACTGGGCTCCCTCATGTTGGACTTTGGACTATTCTAGTCATAACCAAAATCTTGAGATGGACTCCAGCGATCTGAATTTTAAACATACCAGGGGTTTTATATATCAAACTGGCTTGTATTATAGAAAGCAGCTGTAAGGATGTATGGGTCCCTGTGCATAGAAGGCTTCATGTTCAAAGAAATATATCATGAAAACCTAACCATTTTTCTTCTAGACTGATGTACATCTAGTAGAAAAGTGGGCCAGAAGCTGGGATTTGTTTATCTTGCAAAACTGATGACATTGATCCCAGGGATAAATTATAATTCGCTCTTGTGTTCAGAGTTCTTTTAAATATTTTAAAATGATGACCCAAAATAAAACTTGCAGTTTGGAATCCTGGACAGATTAAGTTAAGATAGCATTCAAGCCTATTCACAGGTTTCAAACTTCTAATGCCACTTCAAAATGGGCCCGTCCAGGCCATGGTATTTTGTGGAAGGGCCAAGACACTCAAGGGGCCAAAGAGCCACAGTCTGCCAACCACTGATATAAGGAACCCTTAAAGGAAAAGAATTGGGGTGGGACTTGATGGAATTAATGGGAGTTAAAGGTGTCGGGCTTTATTCAGCTGTACAAGCTAAACAACCATTTTGGGTGGGTTTTTTTTTTAAATTTGTATTTGCATTTTGCATATCAGTGTTTAAGAAGTGATGGGTTTTCCCTTAGTGGCTTCCTGAGAACCTATGGAAGCTAAGGCCATGAATCTAAAATAGGTCAGGTCAGCAGATAACTGGCTGGTGTGGTATAGTGGTTAGAATATCAGCCCGAGTACCTGGGTTTGGTCCCCTGCTCCATTTGGGTGGGGAGTGTGCAAGAGGCAACCAAACTGTCAAACATTGATGTTTTTCCTCCCTTACACTAAAAATCAGTGGTGAAAGTATACTCTGGTAAGGGTTTTAAAAGATTACAAGAATAAATGTTTGAATCCTTACTGGCACTGAAGGTATAAAAATTTATAGAGTCTGAAATGAGTCCAAACTTAGCTGTGTGACTACAATTTTCTTTAAAATTTTGGTGAAGGCATCTACTTGAGGATCATGGGGAGTAAGTCAAATGTAAAGCATTTATTGTTGACTTGGTTATAATTGAATTGTGGGAGCAGACCAGAAACCTTGGTGTGATTCAGTAATGGCAAAGTGGTCCAAGCTGAGGGAAGAAGAAACATGCCTTCAGGAAAGACAAGACTCTAGGGACTGGACTATAGTGTAAGTGTGGAGGCCAGGAACAAGAAAAGTAGGATTCAAAAGACAAAATGGGCAGAGGAGACCCAGTTTGGATGGGACTACAAAATGTCCTGGTATGACGGGGTTTAGGGGAAGAATTACGTTCTTTAGTGATCAGCTGTCTGGAAACAGGATGGAATGATACTCCAATCCTACATGAAGGTGCAAATGGCCATGCTAAATATGTAAGTCTTTTAAAGCCATCCCATTTCTTGGCCTGGGAAAAGCAACTACTCATCTATTGAGCTTTGTTCCAGTGTTCGCACTCCCTAGGACAACTACAAGCTGGGAGATTTTCTGATTCCGCCTATTGCCAAAGGAAGCTGGGTACCTAAAAAGCCCAAATGTCCATGCCCCAGATGAGTGAAGGGCACAGACCTAGAATGGCTGGAACCAAAGGCAAACTTGAGATTTTTCATTTTATGTTTCAGCTGAGACCTAAAGTGGACTCAAGCTTCAAATAACGTGTCTTGTGGTTAAGCACATGAGGATTAATGACGTCCTTCCATATACAGGCATAAGCTTTGTCAGAAGCCCTTCTAACGGGCCTTTAACCTTTTGTTCGTGTGTCAGAAAATGTAAAAACTGGTATGGCCTAGCTGCCCTAGCACATTGGGTTGACCCCATAAATTATCTGCAAGCTGGAATTGTTACTGGCCTAATGCTTTAAATTTTCGTACAAACCTCGGAACTGCAGCTATAAGATAATGGGGAATGCCTGCCACACATTTGGCAAAATTAGGTCAGATTTAAGATTTAATAAATTCATAGCTATTCGATAGCCCAAAAGCAACTATTACAAACCTGCGGCGTGGGCGCGCACCTCCGGCGGAAGATGTGCGGTGCCCGCCTACACTGGAAGGCGGAAATGTACGGGGTTTCGGCGGCCCGAGTCCTACGGAGCTTAGCGCTTCCGGGCCACCCTCGTGGGTCTACACCGCCAGACTTCTTAGGTTCCCTCATTACGACCGCAGCTCCGCTCGCTCCCCACCCTGAAAGCCACTTCCGGAGTGAGGTTCTAGTTCCGGGATCGCTTTGACCCCAGCAGAATGACCGGAAGCACGGCGAGCCCGGCACCACCCCTTGGCTCAGCCATTTCCGGTGGTGGGCGGGGCCGCCCCCGCTTTGAGTGACGTAGAAATTTTTACTCCGAACAGCTGGTGGTTCAATTCCGGCCCAGCTCCCGGCGCGGAAGTCTCCGCCACTTGCACACTTTTCAAATCCCATTTTGGCCGCGCTGAGCAGGAGGCGTGGTCACTATATACACTTTCAAGACGGTAATTTCCAAATCTCAAAACTTTCGGTTGTCAAAAAGAAAACGAGTACCAACTCCTTCAAGGTATCGGGCTAAAATACACTTGTTTACACATGAAATGTTCTTCAGAACACAAAACAAGGGATTTCCGGTAAGGGAGAAATGATACTTTTGTATTAAATAATGATATAAACGGACAAAAAGTAACTTTAAAAAATTGTCAATAACTTGACAGTGCTAAAAAATATTTTCTTGTACAAGGGTTTCATGACCTTGGAATTAACACCCATTCCACCTCCGTAAATTTAAGATGTTTTGGATGCAAAACACCACACAGTACGACTCCCTAGTAAGAATGAAGGTTGAAGTGTGTTTCATTTCTGACTTTGTTTCAGTCCAATTTTTGTTTTATTTGTATTTTTACTTTAAGTTTTATGTGTTTTTTAAACCCTATTTATGTATCGTTAGAAATAAGTCATTTGGGGTACAAGGTAAGTTTCAAGTCCACATATGAAATATATTTTTAGCAAAAATTTAACAGCTGTGATAGCAATTAGAATAATTTTCTTGGGGCCCTAATTACACAGACCATCCGATGTGAACCACTTCCAAGGGCAGGCCTTCAAAACACTCCCTGGGTTCCTCATCTCAGCACTCCAGTTACCAGCACATGATGACTTACTGAAGAGAGCCTTTAGAAAGATCCCAGAGGCAACCTGCCCTACTTTAAAAGTTATCAGACTCATTACAGGAAAAAAACCCAGGGCCTCTGTGTGTCTGTTTCTCCTTCACTCTCCCTATCCATCTCTGAAATCAATAAAAATATTTTTTATTTTTAAAATCTAGGAGCATGTCTCTTATCAACCCAAGAATCTAGTGTGCTATAGACTCTACAGATAATTATCCAAAATTTCTGTTCAGTTCCAAGTTCCTTATCTTGAGAAATTGAAGATTGAGTTCATGAACGAAAAGACCAGTGAAAGCAAGTACCCTGTTTCCCCAAAAATAAGACAGTGTCTTATATTGATTTTTTTCTCTCAAAGTTGCACTAGGTCTTATTTTCAGAGGATCTCTTATCTTTCCAGGCACTGGGTCTTATTTTCGGAGGATGTCTTATTTTCGGGGAAACTCAGTATTATAACAGAAACTGCTGCAGGGAGGGGACCCAAGCAGGTCACCCCTCCAGGATAGATGAGGGCTGACATCCTGTAGGCAACGGGACTTCCAGTAGAGGAGACATCAATTGCCCGAGTTCTCAGCACCGTTAAAGGACACTTGTTCTCAAAGGTGGCAATACCATGGTGGGGAGGGCGGTAAGGGAGTCACAATCATGGGAGGGAAGCAACCAGGGAACCTAGCTGTCCTGCAATGTATGGGTTGATTTTTTTTTTTTTTTAATTTTTGTTTCAGAGGGAGAGGGAGATAGAAACCATAAGAGGAACTGATATAGAGTATGAACAGTTGGCTATTAGAGAGGGAAGCTGAACTAGAACAATGATTAGGTATTTTCTAACTCTAATAAGACTAGTCATATACCCTGGCTCAGTAGCCCAGTTTAAGAGCATTGTCCCAATAGGCCAAAGTATTGGGTTCAATCCCTGCTCAGGGCACAATCAAGAATCAACCAATGAATGCATAAGTGGAACAACAAATGGATATTTGTCTGTTTCTCTTTCTTCTTCCCTCTACCTCCTTCTCTCTCCATAATAACAACAACAACAACAATAATAATAATAAAAACTAATCATAAAGTCAGACCACAGAACCAATTTCTGAAGTTAAATTCTTAATCAAGTACCCTTCATGATGGGTTTCACCCCTGGCTGGCCTATCGCAGCCCATCCCTCAGGGGAGAAAGTTACAGATAATGAAGCCAAGGAACACATGGGGCTCTGGGCCCAGACAACTGTACACTGTTTATTGAGAACACCCGTAGATGGTGGGAAGAAGGGATGCCTTGTACCGCATCATGGCCACCACTGACTGGGAGCTGGGCCCGGAGAGCGCCGGCGGGGCTGGGGGTGGGCCTCCCCTCCACTCTCTGACCATCACCCAGGTGGGAGAAACAAGAGAAGGCCGGGCCCAAAATCTGGTATCATGCCGCCGCAAATGGGGACCGACTGACCTTTGCCTTTTAAAAACAGGTTAGGAAAGGGAGACTACTAGGGGGGAAAAAAAATATATAGAAACTCTAAAAAAAATGTTTTAAAAAATAGTCCCCATGTACATAACAAGACAGCATCTGCGCTCCATGGCCCCAGACCGGCAGCGGGGGCTCAAGCGGGCAGGCCGGGAGCCTCCAGGGGAAGATCAGTGGTTTGGCCGAGACAGTCAGCTGCACATAATTGGCCAGTCACCCAGCAGAACTTCATCCGAGCTCGGGCAGGGCAGGAAAGCACCCGGCCCCTTGGGAATATACAAATATTTACCAGATTCTCTTTGCTTGTTACAAAAACAGATAAGAAAGCTTACAGCAGATTATTTACACACAGTATCTGGGATATCATGAAGGCAGAGGTGGGCTGGCTTGGAGGGCGGGGTCTGTGGGGACAGAGCAGCCACAGCAGCCCAGAGGGTCCCAGGCTGGGCCCCCTCCGCTGGCTCCAGGCTCTGCAAGGCACTGGACTCTCCGTTACTGGGAAAGGGGCTTAGTTCTTCTTGTGGAGGAACTTCATTTTGTTGCCTGTGGGCCAGAAAGGGCAAGAGTGAGAATATTTCCATATAATCTCTTCTAACAGCCCTGAACCTCTCAGTTGGAGAGCAAGGATTAGAGGGACTGGATTATGACAGATCTGATCCATAGGGAAAACACTCCAATGAGGGCCCTGATATTAATCTGTTTGGCTTTGGGCAAGCATTTAACTTATTTGGCCTCAATTTCCCCTGAAATGGACACATTCTATGATCTCTTTGAGAAGAAGGGAGGTTTTCAGAGAGGACACTCTGGCATTGCTAGTCCTGTAGATCCCTCCTGGCCTACAGGAAAGCTCTCTGGTCCTAATGGCCCTCCTGCTCCCTCAGGAAGGAGTGCGCCCAGAAAACCTCAGGCTTCTGCAGGGAGGTAAATCCTGTGCTAACTGCCCTTGAGCGTGGGCCGGGAACCTTCTCTTCACCGAGGGACCCCTTCCCATTCTGTCTATCGCCCCAGTGTAATACCCATTGGTATTGGCATAGAGCAGTTTGGGGTACAGATCCCCCCGAGCCCCTTGGTGAACATCTGTCTCATCAATGACAAAGCCGCTTACCCAAACCTCGGAGAAACTTATTCATTCCGCTCTGTTCGGTGTCTGGGAGTTCCTCTAAATACTGCTCTACCCGCTGCTCAAAGAGGCCTGGGGAAGCGGAGAAACAGGAGCAGGAAAAGAACAGTCAGTGGAGGAAGGGAAGACAAGGCCCTGCAGTTATGATTCACAGGAGCGTCTTAGAATTCAGATTGGCTCATCACAACTACCACCAGTGGCATCTCACCGGTGTTCACTGGTCATAGCAAGAGGCCCCTGATAACTTGCTCCCACGTGCACAGTGCTGAGCTGCGTTACAGCAAAGATGCTAGTCCTCGTTTCAAAGCTGAGTAGACAGACATCTTCTCTAGTTACTTGTAGACCACTCTACAATGTTGTCTCGAAAGGTTTGTCAGACTAAATGGACAGTATTAGTGGAGGGAATAATAACCCTGATGTTAGACAGAAAGCTGCTGATGAGGTGGGAAAGCCCTACAGTGAGCAGAGCCGACGAAATAAGCGATAAGAGAACCTTCTGCTCTGAATGTGTTCTGCCACCAACCTAAGACAGAGGTAGCTCAATTCTCTTCCAGGGCCTTCTCAACCCTGGATTCTCGGACTTCCCTACATTGCTCAGCTGGGTCTTTTTCCTCTGAAAAAGAAGGATGTTTGAGGAGGGGATGGGCGACCAACGGCATGCTGTTCCTGGAGGAGACAAGCCACGTGGCTCCCGCCTGTGCAGCCTTGTGCCGTGTGTACTGGGACAGGAGAAGAAAGCGCCTTGGAAATTCCCATCAGAGGAAAAGGGATGGCAGGAGGCCTGGGCCCAGCCAATACCCAAGAGCTTCCATCACGGTGCCTAGCCAATTCAGCCCTGTTGGTAGCAGAAAGGTTAAGAGGAGAAGGTCTACTGACCCCAGCTCTTCTAACCTTACCTACCCTTTGCCCGACACTTTCTTAGCTCCCTGTCTTGGATGAAGCCGGCAAACATCTGAGACTCCATAAAAACCTCAAGGAAACGGCGGATGCTTTTGGAGGCCACAGACTTGCGGAAGGCTTCTCGCTGAAAGGCTCTCTCCCCCTTCTCGCTCTGGGTCAGGAAGAGGGAGTAGTGCCCAACCGTCTCCACAAAGAACCGGATAAACACCTCCGACACCAGCCCGTTGAGGGTGTTACATTCTGGAAGAGAAAAGACAATCTTTCAGGTTCTGGTCGAGAGCCTGCCATCTCCAGACTTGAACCTCAACCTCCAGCTGGTTTCTCCCTCTCCTCGATAAAATTCCCGGTCGGACCACTTTTCTGCTCTTGAAACTATCTCCTGTGCTTACAACTAGCTCACAAGCTGGGAGGCTGGAAACTGTGCTCTGAACATGGAAACTACTTGGTGGATGAATAAGAGTGGGAATCAGAGACCAGAGGACCCCTGCCTGCACACCCTTCACCCTGGGTAGTTCTGGCTTCACAGCAGGAGGAAGCTCCTCCCTTTAGCCCCTTCAATGGCTAGAGGCAAGGTCTGAGGTTGGGGGGGGTGGGGGAGGAATAACTAGTTTCCTGTCAGCAAGAGTCTTTGTAGCTGTCACAGTTCTTGAGGTTTTCCTTCCCAAGCCTCCTGAGGTAGAGAAGAATAAGAAGGAAGAGGGTAGCTTTGTAGCTAGGCCAGCAGTTGCCAACCTTTCGGACCTCAGTGACTACCAGTAGTCTGAGGACCACCATTTGGCGACCCCTGGCCTAGGCCATTTGAGAAGCAGCCCCAATATTATGTTCCTGAGCTCAGTCAGGTAAAATACTATAATACTTCTCTCCCCTCAGGCGTAGTCAAGCCATAACTCCCCGAACCCCACCGATGCTGCTGCTAGAGGATTCTAGGTTAGTGTGAGGTCAAGTCCTACCACTGGAGCCTCATCAGCCAGAGGGCCTGTGCCTAGAAGCAGGGTCCCGCCAGATGAGGGCCAGGCCCAGAGCAGAGGAGCCTGGGGCCAGAGCTGACTGTGTTGCCACAAGCCTCACTCACCATCGTCGGAGTCGCTGTCGGAATCCTGGGAGATCAGTTCGTTCTTCCTCTCTAGAGCCTGCTCCAGAGCGGCCTGCAGCTTCCTGGGTAACAACGTGTCCTCATCATCCATCTGCAGGAGAAGGAAAATGCAGCGATAATGTTAATAACTAACAGTGGCTGAGCACTTACTATGTGCCAGGCCCTATATGAATAGCTTAAAAATACACTCTCCTTCAATTGTCCCAATGACCCTGGTACTATTTATCAATCTCACTTTAAGATGAGAAGTTAAGAAACTTGTCCAAGGTCACGTGGATAAAAAGTGGTAGAGCAGGTGGCATTCACAGGTCCAGCGAAGGGTTCCTTCCCACCCTGGCACCCCGACAAAGTCTCCCCTACCCCCCAGCTTTAGCTCCAGGAGGAAGCACAGCGGGCTGGGGTGGGGAGACTGTGTCTCAGGCGGGAGGTTAAGCCACCGTTCCTGTCTCTACATTCTGGTTCAGGGTCTGCACCAGGATGCCTGTGCCCAGGAGACCAAACTCTGTCAATGCTGCGTAACAGAGGGTACGACACTGAGCTGGGCTGTTTGTAGAGAACCAGCAGGATTTCCATGACAGACAAAGGCTTTTGATGCAAACCTTTACATCCCATGGCATTCTATGTGTCACATGTAATCAACCCCCAGCAACATTTCAAGGCAGGTACTATGCCAGGTTTAGAGATGAGCACTCGGCTCAGAGAAGCTCAGGGGCCTGTCCAAGACCAAGGTGGCAGAGCCCAGAGGTCACGTCTTTAGACTTGCAGGCCCTGTTGTTTGCACTCCCGCACGCCTTCTAGAAGCTGATGGTGCCAACAAGAAAGGCAGACTCTGCTGAGGTCAAGACTGCTTAGACCAGTTTCTCCCATCCTTGACTATTCTGTGAATATGGAACCCAGAGAGCTTAACAAGCAGGTGGTGTAGGTTGAGCTGCGTGCAGCAGTGCGGGCTGCTCTGGAGTCTGCCTTGAATAGGCACCACCCCAGGGAAGGCCACGTTGCGCAGTGTCCCACTCTTACCTGTCGGATGAATCGGTCAGATCCCAGATTCACCATCAGTGCCTGAGGAAAAGAGGCATTAGTGACCGTGATTCAGGGTATGAATCCCTGCAATGCCCTCCCCAGGCCTCCGGACCCCTAGATCCCAGGGTCAGATAACAGGAGTAACTCCAGCTAGAGACAGCCCTCCCAGGGAGAAAGGATGAGCTGGGTATCACAAAAGAGAGAATCCCAGTGCCTTTCTCCCTCCACTCCCCCTCTGCCCTTTTTTCCTGGGAGTTTCTATTCCTTCTATCCCTTCCTCCTTCCAACCTCCCCCAGCTGGTTCCCCAGGTGGCCCACCTCCTCCACAGGCAGCTCCTTCAGTTTGGGAAGGGAGCTGGAGAGCAGGCCAACCAGGAAAGGGGTGGGACAGCAGACGATGTCAATCATGGAGGCCGGGAGGACAGGAATGAAGGTATGCTGCCAGGAGAAGGGGTAGAGCAAGGCCACCACCGCGTGGGAGCAGCTGGACAGGGTACTGGTGGACAAAGAGAGACAAAGTGCCTGAACCCAGACCCTGCACCTTCGAGGACGGGGAGGTAGAGCCTGCTGGGGCTCAGAACACCTTTTTATGTTAAACCTCCCAGTGCAACAAAAATCGATGCTAATGGGGCCAGTGAAGCCCCCACATTCCCACCATCAGGGCCCCAAGGACAATGTGACTAGCCTCTTTGGTAACTACCTAGAAACAGCCAGGAAGGGATGTAGCAGTGCTTGGAACACACAGGGCTCACATATACCCTACTCTTCCCAAAGGGCCAGCCAGATACACAGGCAGGCCTGACTAGTGCAGGAATATCAGCTCAGGCCGGGAGCACAAAGGTAAAGTGAGTAAAAGAGCTGGTTACAAATTCCTAGCGTGCAAGAGCTGGAAGGCCCTACAGAGGTCACCTCATCAATTCCACATTTTACAGCTGGCGCCACGGATACCCAGGCCAATTTACTCAAAAGGGGCAGATCCATAACACAACCAGACTTCCTGTCTCCCAGCTCAGCATGGCTTCTGCTCTGCCCTCTAGCCACCCCTTCTTCTCCGTGATTGGAAAAAGTGGTCTGACAGGACCACTGACTGCGGTCAGGGGGCTGGCACCATTCTTGCCAACTTTCCTCTCAAGCTCCAAAAAATAGCCACGGGTCTCATTGGGGCCATCCCTCTCTTGACGTAGAGGGGGCTCCAGGCCTCTATGCCCAGGTGCCCTACAGGGCTGGCTGGCTAAGCAGAATGACCAGTGGGAGCTGGAGGAAATTCTCTAGGATGCTAGCCAGAAGGTACAAACGTGAGTGCACACTCCCCAGGTGCATTGAGGGCTGGTGAAGGGCACAGGCAAACACAGGAGACACACCTGGCCTGGACTGTCCATCTGCCAGGAGCACAGGCCAAGGCCCTCCCTGAGGGATCAGGAGACAGAGGACCGCAGTCAAGACCACTTGACCACAGCTTGACTCTCCCACCCTGTCCTCCTCATCTGCGGTCCCACCTATTCGCCATAAAAGCTTAGTCTCTGCGTGATCAGCTCCAGAGGGACTCTTGCCCTTTCACGACTAATGCCCCACCAGTCAGAGGACATGGTTCTCGGACACAACAGAAACAGACCCCTTCTTCTAGAACGAGCTCTGGATGTTCATGAGTGTTTTTGTCAGCCAGTGCTTTGCTTGACTGCCCTACCACCCTACGGACACCTAAAATACTGCTGGGCCTTGAGGCAGAGACAGGTGCCCTGGCCCCAATAGCCCTTCCCCTGGGCATAGCAGCTCCCCGCACCCCAAGGAGAGCCATCTGAAAAAGATCTGGAAAAAGGTTATCTCAGGACCTCGGGACACACTGATCTCCACAGTCTCCTCCAAAGGGACTCGATCCAATCGCCACACAGCTCATGCACATGTACACACACACAGACACACACATCCCACAGACATCAGAACCCAGCCAGAGGGACAAAGAGCTTGTGACGCCTAAAACATGAGGCACGGAGCCTGAGCTGGCTGCACCGCCTGAGCCCTGAGGCAGTCTGGGCCTGTGCGCCCTCACGGGGCTCCCTCCTCTGCCCCTCCCATCAGAGGCAGGCCCGTGCAGGAGGACATCTTTTCTAAGACCCAAGACTGGCAGAACTCAAACGCCAGGCCAGGCCAGGAGCAGGGCCCTGGGCCCTTTCCTCCCCGAAGGATGTGCTCAGCAGCAGCTGCAGCCACAGAAACAACAGCTGTGTTCATATTCCCACTGGAGCTGGGAGAACGGTGGGGTGGTAGAGAGGATGCCCCCAGTGAGGGAATGGAAGCTTCAGGAAAAGAAACATCAGGGTCCAGGCTCTGTTAGGGGCACCAACGCCTGGCCAGACCAGAGCCTCACAGCTGGGCAGTGGCAGGGGGGAGGGGGGGAGGGAAGGGGACTCCTGTCCCAGTGGCCTTCAGGATCCATTTCTCCTGCTCCACTCGTCACCCCTCATGCATGCAGACAGAGATACCTCAGGGAACCTGGGCTTCTTGGGGGAGAAACGGGACAGAGGATGTTTCTTTTCTGCTCCTTGTATCAGCACCTGGCATATGGTATGGCACATGGCAAGTAACTTAATAAATACCTGAATGAATGAGTTCTGTCACCTTGGAGAAACCACTGCAACAGATTGACATACACACACAAAAAATAGATAATATGCTGCCAGAATCTCATCCTCTCCCTGCCTGGCCCACCTCCACACATAGTCTTTGCTATGGTCTGTTTGTTTCCCCCCAAATTCATATGTTTAAATCCTAACCCCAAATACGGTATTAGGAGGTGGGGCTTTGGAAGGCTTAGGTCATGAGAAAGAAGCCCTCATAAATGGGATTAGTGTTCTTAGAACAGAGATCTCTAGTCCCACCCACAGTGGCTTCTTCTGGAACGCCTCATGTCCAGGGATACCTCTGCCACACTCTGATGGCCACAATCAGATCTTGGCATTCAGAACTCCTCTAAAATCATCAATGCCAATGCTTCGGACCAAGGCTTGTGACCCTTCTAGCTCTTTCCTTACTCTTCCTAAGCCAACCTCCCTGTTCTCAGACACCTCCAGTCACACCTCCTGCCCAGCAATGCTTAACGGGGACACCTCAGGCCATACCCTTCACCCCCCACCCCAGCTGGGGGACCTCAGGGTGCGCTCCTGCCCCGGGGCCAGGCCAGGGGACCTGCCTGGCGGGGCTTCACAAGGATGGGACCAGCTGGGTCTGGATCTAGCCCAATGCGGGGTAGGGAGGGTGGCCGGATCTGAGTCTCATGCGATTTTGAGGCGCATGTGGGCAGGCAGGGACTTGACTCTGGGTCCCGTGGTACACCCCAGACTCTGACAGGAGGAAGATTTTCATATATTTTACTAATTTTTTTTTCCATCTCTGACACTTCTATTATAAAAGGCAAATAGCAATATTAAAATATTTCCTCTAATTCCCTTTTAATGTGCACGAATTTTGTGCACCGGCTCATTAGTCTATAATAATTTAAAAAAAAAAAACATAATATGCTAATTAGCTGGATGTCCTGGACAGCAGCAGCGATGGGGCTGAGGCAGAGGCAGTCTCCATGGCAACAGGGAGCCAAATCCCTTGCACAAATTTTGGGCATCAGGCCTCTAGTTAGTAAATAATAATACAAGAACAAACTGTTTCATGTACTCACAACTGTAAACCTACTTTTGTCCACCCCATATTTGCATCTGCACAGTCTTGTCTGCTGCAAAGGAAGTGTCCCTCCTCTTCCTCAGGCCAGTTCTCATTGGGTCCTCATCTTTTGTGCTCCCAACCACCCTTTCTTCCGGATTTGCTAACTTTTCCCTCTTTATTTGATCTCACCACACACACACACACTCTCTCACACACACACAGACTGGGGTTCATAAATACATGGTGGGTGAATTAGTGATGTGCCTTCCCCCTCTTCTCCACCTTGCCCTATGGGGCCCTACCTGAGCTTATCGGCCACAAAAATGACCCGGCGCTCCAGCAGCAGTGAGGCAAAGATCCGGATCAGCTGGCGCACACTGAGGCAGGTGAAGAGGCACTCGAAGTCCACGTGCTCCAGCCGGGAATCCATGGGTCGCCGCAGCTCTAACACCTGCAGGAGAGCGACGGGGAAAGTGGGTCGAGGAGGGCCAGCTGGGCGCCGCTCCCAGATCCTTCACAACGTGGCCAGATGTTGGTCTCCCTTCCCACCCTCTCTTCTCCAGGGCCTCTAATCTAGCCCACTGTGCAAAAGACCCAGTCTCTTCCTCCCTTCGGACACCCAACTGGTGAGCAAGAGGGCTAACTCCAGGAGCGTGGGGAGGCTCCAGAGGAAGGAGCTGAGGGGCAGCCCACCAGGCTCTCGGGAAAGGGAGGAGGAGAGCTAACTACTCTCACAGATGAGGAGAATGAGAAACTTCATAGCTTGATCTGTAGGGTCTTCCCCGCCCTCTTGCCCATCTCCCCAGGCAAACATCATGGCCCCCACGCTGACCAGCCCCCACAGTTGTTGGCTGCTCTGCAGGCTGTAGGAAGAGCAACATCTCTGCACCCCAGGATTCTGCTCTCATCCACCTCTGGAAAGGCAGTGCCAGTCCTTGTTGCCCTGTTCCTTTCCTTTCCTACTAGAAGAGCCTCCTTCCAGAGGCTGTGTCTGTGCTGCCACACTCGCCCCTCTCTGCCAGCCTATCTAATCTCCGTGCCAGGGACGAGAAAAGCACGAGGGAAGGCCGGCTATCTGTGACCTTGCCAGGAAGCCGGGCTTTCTTTATCAGGGCCGGGCCTAGCAATCTTTCCTCCCAAGGGGTTGCAAAACCACTTCCAAGGTCAGTGCCATCCATGGCGGGGAGAGCCACTTCCCTGGGTGCAGTTATGAGGGTGGAGGGGAGCCTGGATCCTGGCAGTGTGGGCCAGGGAACTGCGAACTTCAGGCCACCCCACAGCACTGTCCTGGGGTGCCTCAGAAAATGTGTGCAACACGGAGGTGCAGGCCTCCGAAGAACTAGGGCACAAAACAAACTCCCTCTTCTAGCCCTATGGTTCCAGAACTCTCTTCAAGGGGCTATCCCCCCACATCATCTCATCTGTGCCTCGGGGTCTAAGCAAGTGAAGTTCTAACTCCCAGCTCAGTCAGTATTCAGCCCTCTGTACCTCAAGAAGCAGGAACATGGGCACAACGTGGGCACAAGTCGCCCTAATGACCTGTTTATGCTCGGTCTCCCAACACCCCCTACCTCCCAATCCCCACCCCCCGCTAGTGAACTCCCAGAAGATCTGGTACTGGGTACACCCAAAATGCTCAGTGAGTGTGCGTGGAAAGAATCCCACATCACAATTATGCCAGAGACCTTTGCACCCGTTCTGTCTCTGCCAGAGAAGACACAGTGAAGTGCCCCTACCCAGCCTCCTGAGAGCCTGCATGCGGTCCTTCCGTCCGGCCAAGAGGTTCTGCAGTGCACAGCCCCCACCCCTACCACCCAAGGGCCGGGCGCCCTCCAGGGAGTGAGACTTCACCCAGGCATCATCCTGACAATGAAAAGAGGCTCAATGAAAAGAGGCTTCATTCATCCCGCTCTCGGATCACCGCCCAGTGGGGCTGAAAGAGCCTAACCACAGCCTGTGGGAGAAAACATGATGAACATGTGCAGAGGGGCTTCCGGCTCTGAGGAAAGGTGCCAACCTCATCTGGGCAGGGTGGGGGTAGGGCAGCAGCTCAGCCCAAGATGCTGAATGTGGAGAGAAGAAGGGAAGTGTCTTCTAGGCAAAAAGAAGAGGGTTCAAGGACGTAAGCTATTCAAGTCAGAGTGATGGGAAATGAGGCTGCTGAGGGGGCAGGGCCACATCCGGAAGCTCTCCCAGGCCTGCTGCTGGGCTCTTGGGCAGAGTCAGCTGACCCACCCCAGACCACTCATGAAGCCTAAGTCCCTCCCAACAAGGGTGGGCGAAAAGAGCCTAAGAGCAAGGTCTTAAATGGTTTTCGCCACTCCCAGCAAACCCAGAATTTCTCTAAGCCACCCCTCTCCTGTTCTTTGCAACGACTAATTTATTTCTTCTTCCCTCTCTAGAACCAGCACCCAGCTCTCCCTCTCAGAGGATGACCTTCTTTTCTATTTTGAGGAAACAGAAGCCATCTGATGAGAATCAAAACTATAAACCATGGCCCTGCCTAGTATTACACAAAAATAAAAGCCAGCCCCACCCTGGACCCCACCACCAGTGCCTTATGGGTGACAGCTGGATTATACCCTCCCTCTTGCCTTTTTTTTTTTTTTTCTGAAATTAGGTAATTTAAGTAACTTAAGTAAATTAAGTAATACCATAAAGCCTGAGTCTTTTTTGTGTGTGACTCTTTTTTTTAAAAAAAATATGTTTTTATTGATTACAGAGAGAAGAAAGGAGAGGGGGAGAGAGATAGAAACATCATGATGAAAGAGACTCATTGATTGCTGCCCCCTGCATGCCCCCTACTGGGGATTGAGCCTGCAACTTGGGCATATGCCCTGATTGGGAATCAAACCATGATCTCCTGATTCATGGGTCAACACTAACCATTGAGAACACCAGCCGGGCCCTCCTGCTTCTTGAACTTCCTCTGGGGGGAGGCTATTCCACTAGCATCCAAACAACCATCCTCAATAAACCCTCCCCTGGTTCCACACTTGCTTTTAACCACTGTCTCCTTCCCTAGTTCTCTCCACAGCCAAGCCTCTTGAAAACATGTCTACACAGGGCTATTTCCACTTTCCACCCCCTATCCATTCACTTCTCAACTCACATCTCGGGCTTCTAGCCCCTAGCCCCCACTCTTCTGCAATTCATTCTTGTCAAGGCATCTTGCCATCCTCCTCCTGACCTTTTGGCAGTTTCTGATCACTCCTTTCTCCTTGAGATGCCCTGCCTCCCCTTCCTTGGCTTCCAAGCCCCGTCCTCTCCTGGCATCCCTCCTCTCTTCTCACTCTTCAGGGCTGCTACCCCTCCTCGGTGGGACCTCTCAAAGTTTGGGTCCCTCAAAACTGAGGAGGACCGAGGCTGGGCTCTCTTACCTATCTACACTCCGCTACCACACATCTTCTCTTGGGTGTCTCACAGGTATCTTCAATGTAACCTGCACAAAATCGGACTCTTCCTTCTCTTAACCTGTTCCTCCATCAGGGGATCCATCAGCTATCCCATTGCTCAAGCCAGAGAGCTGGGAGTTTGCCTTTAAATCTCCCTAATTTTATTCCCTATTTCTAATCAAACAAAATGCTCTTGATCCTAATTCTAAAATGCATCTCATCCATCTACTTTTCTTCATCTTTTTTGTTTAACATATATTTTTTATTGATTTTTTTACAGAGAAGACAGGGAGAGTTAGAAACATCAACGAGAGAGAAACATTTATCAGCCACGCCCCCTTCTCACTCCCCACTGGGGATATGCCCGCAACCAAGGCACATGCCCCTGACCGGAATCCAGCCCGGGACCCCTCAATCTGCAGGCCGATGCTCTATCCACTGAACCAAACCGGTTATCTCTTCATCTTTTCTAGCACACCTTAATCCAAGCTACTATCATCCCTTACCTACACTACAGCCACAGTAGCCTAGCTAGCAACCCTCTTGTCACCCCAATCCATTATCTACATAACAGCCAGAGTGAGATCTTAAAAACATAGCTCAGATCCTACAACTCTGCTTTAGATAAAATCCAAAATCCTTAACTTGGACAAGCAGGCACCCTATGACTTGGCCTCTCCACCCCTGCTCCCCACCCTGCCAACTATCTTGGCCTTTTCTCAATTCCTTGACAAACACAAAGAATTCCTCAACTTTTGCCTTTGCGTGAGCTATTCCCTCTACCTGGAATGACCTTCTCCCATCCATACCCTTCTCTTTCAGTCTCCCTCCTCCCACTTCATTGAGTTGACTCTACTTACCTTGCACCCCAGATAAACTTCCCCTTCTCCAGAGGCTCCTAATCTAAAACAGACCCCTCGTGACACACTCACACTCCTGTGCTTTCAGTTGTCACTTAAGGATCATCTACTTACATATAGAAACACTTATTTAATACTAGTCTCTCCACCAGGACAGAGCCGTGCTCTCTTTAACTGTATAGTCTGGCATGACCCTGACTATGAGAGAGCACATAGTAACTATCGGGTGAGTAAAAAAGGAGGGCAGGTGGTGTTCAGTTTAGTCCAAACCGATCAGGAAAGGCCCCTGGGAGTCGCAGAGTTGGGCAGAGAGAATGGCGGTCCTGTCATTCCCCCCGTCAATTCCTACTGAGAAGGTGTACGAACACGGTGAGCAAGGACGGGCCATGCTCTGGGCCTCCCAGAGGCCGCACCCTTAGATAGGCAGGCCTCACACCAGCCCCAGCCCCTTGTCCAAGAGAAGAGGCGGCAGCAATCCCTACCTCGTTGCCCGCGCCTGGCAGGAATGTCTTCACTTTGATGGTCTTCCCTGGAGCGGGGAAGGGCGACTCCATGAGACTTCTCATGAAGGGGTAGACCAGCGCGGCGGAGATCCCACGCCGCCGCTCCACCTCGTCTAGGACCTGTGCCCGCCGCCAGCAGCCCAAAGAGGAAGGGTTGATCAGGGCACTGCCCTTCCCGACCTCCTGGGCGGAGAAGAGGGCAACCTGGCATCTGACCAGCCTAGGCCAGATGCTGGGAGACAGGAGAACTGTCTTTCCAGAAGCTTCACACCCAACCCTTCTCTTTGCACCCCATGACTGCTCTGCCCCCTAACCAGTCCTGGCCTCGGACGCCAAGAGCTGACTGAGTAGCTGGGAAAAGGAAGTACCACTTGAGAGTCAGGTCCCTGGGCACGTGGCTTCCCCAAGGTGGTCTCTGTCCCCAAGAAATGTGTCTCTGCCCCGTAGCCCAGGGTGGACTGTGACATGAGCAGACACTGCTGGAGCAGGAGCTGGGAGATGCCGGCTGGCCAGGTGAGGAGCCAGGCCCTGGAATCAGGAGGAAGTCCGAGAGCTCGCTTGCACTTGCTCTTTTCTCGGTTGCATTCTCTCTTTCTCCCGCCCGCTCCCTCGCACACACACAGGTGGTTTTCTCATCTAAGCTGGCTGCAGATACTCCTCTGGGAGCTGTCAGCTGTGGGGAGGAAGGAGGAAGGAAGCCAGAGCCCTCTTACCTTGGAAAACAAGCCGAAGCAGCCAAGACGGCTGATGACACAGTATACCTCTGGCAGCCGAGGCCCTTTCCCGCTTGGCTGGGCCGGGGCAGGAGGGGAGAGACACAGACACAGAGAATGCATGATTACTACATCTGGCTCCTTTTCCTTGGGAACCGAGGGCTGAGGACTACTCTTCCAGTGGAAGAAGAAAGACTCCAGACCTCTTCTTAACTAACTGCTCAGCCAGGCTCTCATGGGGAGGCTTCAGCCTCCGGTGGGCCTGCCAGCCCAAGGTGCCCGCCTCCTGCAAAACCCTACATGGGCTCTGCTCTGCCCCCAAGAAAGACACTGACGGGGCTGGCAGAGGACAAAGCAGTTTGGCAGAGGCTGTAGTAGGATGTGTGGATTTATATCTCTAAGACTGGGAGAGCCCTCAAGGATGCAATGGTAATGAGAGCAACTTTTATATATTCTTAGTGGCAAGCCATGTAGTCTCCTGCTCCCCCAACAGGGGGCATGCTGCAAAACATTCCTTTTCTCGGATGCTCTTTTCTCCCTTGCTTGGCCCATCCCGTTCTAGGAAGACTAATTAAAAATAGATACGGAAAGCAAACTACTATTTACTAAATGTCCTGGGCTGGGCACATTACTGAAGCAAACTCGTTAGATAAGCACTATTACTCCCATTTTAATAGATGAGTAAACTGAGTTAAAAATATCAAGCCATTGCTCATGATCGTGTATTAGCAAGTCGTGGAACCAGGAGTCTGTTTTGACCCTGATTTGCTGTTTTGCTTCTAAAGCATGCTGCTTTCTTACAGGAAGGAAGAGAAAGGGGTACAAAGGCATGGGATAGAGGTACGCTACAGAGTAGAGGAGAACAAAGGGGGAAAAAGGAATTTAAAAGGTGGGCAGTGAGCCGAAACCAGTTTGGCTCAGCAGTAGAGCGTCGGTCTGAGGACTGAAAGGTCCCAGGTTCGATTCTGGTCAGGGGCATGTACCTTGGTTTCGGGCACATCCCCGGTAGGGGGTGTGCAAGAGGCAGCTGGTCGATGTTTCTCTCTCATTGACGTTTCTAGCTCTCTCTCTCTCTCCCTTCCTCTCTGTAAAAAATCAATAAAAAATATATATTTTTTTAAATCAATAAAATATGTTTAAAAAAAAAAAAAAAAGGTGGGCAGTGGAGGAGTTATGCACTGAGAGCTCCCATGCCAGGAGCCCCCAAATGCAGGCTGAGGTGAGCCCACAGGGGCCTATTGCTCCAGCCATGGGCTAATAGGGCTCTGTGGCCGCCTCTGGCTCAAGGCCGGGAGTGCCTGGCAAGGCCTGGGAGGGAGGGAGGAGAGCAGCAGGTGCTGGCCCCTCATGCAGGCTGCTAAGCAAAGGCAGATGGGGCTATTTCAGTCTCCAAACCTGCTGGCCACACGTCACAGATCTAAAGAGAAGGCAGAATCTGTTTTTGTCCATATTAGGCCTGAAACTCACTCTTCAATCCTTCCCTCTCCCCCGCCTCCCCTAAAGCCCCAAGTGATTAAATCAAGTATGTGGGATTTGGGTTAGAATCATTGTGTCCAATCTGCAGGAATGCCGAGCGAGTGCCAGCCCCCTTGGCAGGGACCCAGCCCAGGCCCTCTCCGAGCAGGCCAGGACAAACACGCTCTTCCCTGGGGGCAGCAGGCACACTGCAAAGGAGCAGCTCTGCTCCGGCTCTGCTCCTGCAAAGGGAGCCTCGGAACGCTCTCCTCTGGGCCCAGGGAACCTGGGGTGTGCTGGCCACCGCCTAGCTCCCTGCCTGCACCTGCATCGTTCCACGCTCCCTTAGTCCCACACGCCAGGCATGCCGCATCCGTATGACACTTCTCCCCAGACTATCCTTTGGGGTGATCCAAGAGCACCAGACTTGGTGTTAAAGGATTTGAGACTAAATCTGGCTCTGTCTCTCACTGGCTGTTCAACCCTGGAATATCATTACACTCTGAGTCTCAGTTTCTTAATCTGTAGAATGGACATAATGGTACCTTATGAGTTATGATGAGAATTAAGGAAAATGACATACTTAAAGCATCTAGCCTGGAACATCATAAGTTCTAAATAATAGATTATTCCCTTTGCCTTACCTTCTATATTGAAAGTGCTACCCACTCTGCTCCACTATCAAAAGTTCCTTGAGGGCAGGATCCATGTATAACTCACCTTTATGGGTCTTTAGAATGCTTGCTGACCCCTCAGCAGGTGTATGATACGTGTTTATGAATGAATGAATGAATGAATGAATGTGTGAATGAATAAGTGCCCCCAAATCCTTCATTTGGGGTTCCTCTATATATTACTCTTGCCAAGGATTGCCCTCAGCTGTCCCAGACTGGCATCTAGTAAGCCTTCTCCCACTAAAGCCTGGGAACCCTGAAACATAGTTGACAGCCCTGGCCAACAACACTCCTGATGAGTTCCACGGGATAGTGCAACAGGACTCTTACTGTTGCCTCTATTTCCCAGGACTGATGGGAAAGGAGTTAGGGAAGGGCTTCTCTCTCCACAACATGGCTTGTATTTTCAAAACTCTCCCATCTTAGTTCAAGGCATCTCTCCCAGAATCCCATCGGAAAGGTTAACTCTCCCAGAATCCCATAGGAAAGGCATCTATCTCTCCCACAATCCCAGAGAAGGCACTGCTCTGATGCTGCTCAGCCTCCAGCTCTATGAACCATGGACAGGATGCCCCCCACATCAGGCTGGCTAGAAATAGGGGTGAAGATTTTCCTCCACCCCAATCTGTTGCGCGCGCACATACTGCTGGGGTGACATAGTCCTGCAATCTGGAATTAGCAATCAGAGTTCAGAAGCCAGAGACGAATGAAAAGACAAAGTATAGGCAAGCTAAAAACATATGATAGCCCAGAAGAAGGGGCTTCATTCTCTCCCCCATCTTACATACTCTTAGGGCCCAGTCAGAGTGGCCCCTTTGAGTCCTGCCAACCCAGGAGTGCCTCATCTATAAGAATGTGTGAGTGTGTGTATTTGTGTATGTGTGTATGTGTGTGTATGTGTACGTATGAGTGCGTGTGTGAATGTTAGTATGTGTAGGAATGTGTGTATGTGAGTGTATGTGTTGGGATGGCCTCAGAGAGCACACAAGAGAGCATAACATAGCATATCATACAAGCTAAAGTGGCAGAAGGGCACACAAACATACAAATGTCATGGCCCAGCCCCTGAGGACTGAACAGCCATACTCACCAGTAAACGCCTGCAGTAGCCGAAGCGTCTGCTGCCATCCTCCCCGGTCAGCATGAAAGAAAAAGTCTCACTGGAACAGGGAGAGGTCTGGCATCAGGGAAGCATCAGAGGACCGGAGGACAGCCCCCAAGAAGGGGACTGCCATCCCAGGGAGGGGGTGAAGGGCCGGGTTGCTGTGGAGAGGAGGTTGGGACTAGGGTGGGCCCCATTCAATTGCCCACTGTCCTGGGGGTAAAGAGGCTCTGCCCTCATCCTCCTGCCAGCCAGGCTGGGCAGCCTCACCTGGTATACTCAGACACAGGCATCCAGTCCTTGGCATCAGGGAAGCAAAACTGGGGAATGGCCTTGAGCCTCTCCTCTGCCTCGCGCATCTGCTTGGTGGGTCGGTCCAGCTGCAGGCAAGAGAAATATGGAGAGAGATGGACAAGGGAAGGCATGGAGCCTGGAGTTGGGTTGGGGAGGGGTTGTTAAGAAGCATCTCCTCCCCTGAGAGCATTAGATGCAATCCTGTCAACTGGCATGCTTCTCTGCAAACGCTGTCCCCACTCCCAATTCTCACAGAGGGGTCTGGGTGTGGGATAAGCCATCCTTTATTCATTCCATAGACATCAAATGAGCACTTGCATGTGGCGCCTGGCACTGTGCCATGCGCTGGGACTACCAATAGAAACCAAGCGGACAAGGTCCCTGTCCCTGCACACTGGTCAGGGGAGTGAGATCATCAACAACAAGATTTCAGCGAGGGCCCCGAGGAAAGAGACAGGGTGACAGGACAGAGAGAACTGGGCAGGGGAGGGGCTTCTTTGGGGAATCTGGAAAGATCTCCTGGAGGAAGTACTATCTGAACGGCGAATGAAGAATGAGAAAAGAGGTAGCAGCCATGGGAAGAGCTGAGAAAAGGCATTCCAGACAGATGCTCCAGCAGAGAGAAAGGCTTGAGTGTCAAAGGAAGGGAATGGAGGCCAGGATGTGGTGCAGGGGAGGGAAGGAGTAGAAAGGGATAAGGTAGATGGGGGAATGGGTATAGAGTTTCCTTTTGGGGTGATGAAAATGTTCTAAAACTAATTGTACATCTCTGTGAATATATGAAAAGTCATTGGATTGTACACTGTAAAGTAGGTGAATTATACAGTATGTGAATTCTCTCTCAATAAAGAAGGGGGGAGAAGGGAGGAGGAGGGAGAGAAGCCAGGGACCGTTTGTCAGGACCTTTGTTAGTCCTTGTAAGCAATGTGACTTTAGTCTAAGCACCCTGTTCTCCACACCCTCGCCTTCTGCATAAACACCCACAGCCCCGGGCACCCTGTCTTCCCTCCTGGCGACAAGCAGCTGCACGCAGGGCCAGGCAGACCGAAGGCGGCAGAGGAGGGGTGCAGGGGTGGGGAGGGCCTCACCTTGGGGAACTGGTAGGAGACTTCAGGGAGGTAGGTGTTGCGGGACGGCTTCTTCTTGAGCGATACCACCACGAAGTACTCAAAGAGCTCCCGCTCCTGCCACTCGAGCAGCTCCAGCTCCAGCGTCCGGTAGCTGGGCGCACGCTTCAGCATCGACTGGATGTGGACCAGGCGCTGTGTGTGGGCTGGAGGCAGGTCACAGGTCAGGAAGCAGACCTCATATTAGCCCCCTTCCGTGCCAGACTTGGGGCCCAGCCTCTGTGGATCACCTCGAAGCACATGAGCCTAGTCTGACAACCTCGCCCAGCTAGGTCTGGGGGAGAAGGGGTAGGAGCAAGGTGTCGCCCTGACAGGGAGCTACCGGCCTGGGCCTCCTGGAGCCTCTGGAGGCTGTGCTGGGCCAATAGGACCGCCCAAGCCAGGAAAACCCAGGCATGTGCCACTGGCGCCCACCCATCCCTGTGCCAACAGGACTAGGAGATATGAATATCCACAAAGGCTTCCTCCTTAGGCCTCAATCAGTCCTTGAACTTGAACCCTTGGTCCCAGTCCTCAGGACCAATGTCCACTTGCCCAATTGCCATGGCCAGTGGAAGTAGGAAAGAGGGGACTAGCTCCCTCCTACTTTTATCCTCTAGGCTGGGTTTCCCAGGAGAGAAAGGACAGAGATTTGTCCAAGGCCCCTGGAATGTGAAGGGCCCAGAGCCTTCCCGCCAGGGGAAGGGAGATGAGTGACCTCGGGCCTCCGGAGTACTGGCTTCCTCAGACTGAGGCACAATCCTTAGAACCAGAAGAGGTGCATGCAATCTTCTGAACCCCTCTCTGTCCGCCCGGATTCACATTTACCAGGCAAACCCAATACCCAATCCCTACAGATTTTCACATGGGAAAGTGTGGGCCAGGACACCAGCCTGAAGTTTGGTAAAGGAGATGTCTAAAGTGAACCTTGCAGGACTGAGCCCACCTGACTGTAGAAATGGACACTCCCATAGCTCCTGGCTCTGCTGGCCCGGTATCCTGCCTGCCTGCTATCTCTCCCAACCAGGCCAATTGGGACATGGGCACTAAACACGAGGAGAGAGGGAAGGCTTATTCCCCAGAGCCAGGGCTGGGAATGGCTACCATGGTCATGGGGAGCCACACCTCACCTTTGAACCTGTCGTCAGAGTCGCTCTCGCTCTCACTGTTCTCATCTGGAAGGAAACAGCAGGAGTGCGTGCTTGCTGAGCCCCTGCCCTGCAGCAAGTGTTTCTGGTACCACACCCCTGCCCTCCCGCATCCCCCCCCCCCCCCCCCCCGCCCCAACTCTTCTCATGAGGGATGAATCTGTATCTGGTCCCAGGTTTGGGGGCCCATAGCCAGGCACTGAGTGGCCTGAGACCAGGGTCCTTCAGAGCTCAATTTGTAGGTGCTTATCTATATACAAACCCTTACGGTCCAGACCTGATCTGGAGAAGCTGAGGACCCATAAGTCTGGACTTTCTTTCTGCCAGAAGTCGATCCCCACAGCCACCTCCCTACTCAGGGCCCAAAGCCTGAACCATTCCGTTCACAGCTGTCTTCCCTCTTTGGCCCTCCCCTCTCATGTGACCACTTCTTGGCCGGGATCTACCCTCCTAGAAGGCAGCAGGATTCCCAGATGGGCCCACAGAAGGGTAAGCTGAGGCTAGTCCATGCCTCTCCCTGTTTCTAATGCCCAAGGGCCCCAGACACCTGAACCAGTTCGAATATCAAGGCCTACCTCTCAGGGATGCTGTCTCAATGCTGGACATAGACAGCTTTTTTAACCGCTTCTTTCCTCTCTTGGCATTGTAGATGGAGTTAATTCTTTGGACAAGCTGGGTGAGAAAAGCAGGGAGGGTGAGGTAACCTAACACCGGCTGCCCCTACCGCCAAGAAGGCTGCTTACTAGGCCACCCGATGCCTTATTGGTGCAAGCTGCTGCCTTCCCTGCCCCAGGCCCAATGCTGGTCTCCCTGCTACCCTGACACCAAGTACAGACTGTCAGGTAGCTCTCTACACGCCCCCGAAGTGGACTCCTGTCCCAAGACAAGGACATTAAACTTAGCTCCCCAGAGGAAGGAACTGGGATCAAACTGGACAGGATGGGAACTCCTGGGTCCCAAGAGTCCCTGAACCAACGGAGACAAAGAGCTCCTCAGATGCAATAACAGGAACAGGGATTCCAGCCTTTCCCCTCTGGGCCAGAACCTGGAGCCTGACAGGAAGGAGCTAAATTCCCAATATACCCGAGCATTGTTTGCCGGCTAAAAATACCAGGTCACTGAATCCTGCTGCTCTGGGCTGAGGGCTTGGGCCTGGCTGCCTATAAATGACTGCTGCAGACTCTTAGTTCCGAGAGTTATAGAAAGGGAGTCATGTTTGAGTCTCAAGTCCTTCAAAGCCTGAAAATATTTGTGCAGAGAGACCTCAAAATGCACACCCCAAATTGCAGTCATGGGGAGTCTCCTAAGGACTGGTTTCCATCCATCCATCCATCCATCCATCCATCCATCCATCCATCCATCCAGAGCCATGGAGTCCTTCTTAGGGGCAGAGGTGGGCCTGTCCTTCCTCTTCCTCTAACATCTGTCTACCATTAATCACTATTGCATCTTTATTGATAAGAAAGGGGAATTAACCAGATGAAAAAGAAAGGCCAGTGCATCGACCCAGAATATACTCAAGGAGAACTGAGGGAGCAATTCCAGATTAGAGGAAGGAAGGGAGGGAGGGAGGGAGGAAGGAGCCACCTGCCTGCCCGTCCAGCCCCACTGGGGAGGCTACCTTGGGAATGCGGCGGGCCCGGCGGCTGGACAGCAGCTCACTCGTGGTGCTGAGGCTGTCCTCGTTGAGGCTGGAGGGTGAGGATGGCAGGCTCAGCTGAGCCAGCAGCAGCATGTCATCGTGGCTGTGTCTCTTGGGTAATCGTGGCAACCGGTGGCTCTTCCTTTCCGACCAGTTTCCACTGCGCAAGGTCTGGCTGCCGGGTTTCAGGGAGAGCTGGCAAGGGGGAGACATAGTGGGGGCGGGGCTCACCACAGGAGCCTTGGCCAGCACCGACTGGCTGCTGGGGCCTGGACTTAGCAGCCACGGGATGGCATCTCCGGCTCCCAGAATCCCACCCTGAAATTTCCACCCTCTGGGGTTTCTTCTTTCAAGACCTTTCGCTGCTAATCAGGGCTAGATTAGATACTTGCTTCCACAAAGGAAGCCTGAGGACTTCTGCCAGAATAAAGAAAGCAGAGGCTAAGAAAACGGGGCTGTCATCTGAGTGGAAAAAGGCCAACCGGGAACTCTGGGGGCCCCCCTGAGCGCTGGGACAAGGCTTAGACGTAGACTTTGCTCTCTCCTGAGCCAGGCCGCTGCAGCCAGTCTTTCCCCGCAGCCCGGTCCAGCCCTAAAAGGCTCCTCCAGTAGACGCCACAATCTACCTGCCAGCCTGGCCCCGCTCACCTATTCCAGGGGCAGCACAGCGCTCTGAGCACCAAAACCCAGCAAGGCCGGCCGCATAGCCAGGTGGTTCCCTCACAGCCCTGATCTCCGTCCTGCCCAGCTCCATCCGGACTGCCACCCTGCAGTCTAGGCCCCTTCCCTCAGCGATCCCGCTCACTGCCAGCAGCACCCCCTGCAGACTTGGCATGCCTCCCGCTGCTGTGTGGGGCTGGCACTGCCGCTCATCACCCTTCACCATGTCCTCCTTCCTCCCTGCCCCTCAATGCCTCTTTCCTTCCCACCTAATCAGTCAGGCAGTACACATCCAATAGAAGCACATTAGGAAGGTAAATCTTCTATAAAAATAGTCACATTATTCCAGTCAGAAGAAATCATTTTTATATTCTCTAGCCAAAGTTAAACATATTCAGGTCCTTCTGGCCCTGGCCAGTGTTTCTCAGTGGCAAGAGAGTCAACCAAAGCACTTAAGGGTCATGGGTTCAAGTCTTGGTCAAGGGCATGTACCTGCACTGTAGGTTCCATATCCAGCCCTGGTCAGAGCGCATGCAGGAGTCAACCAATGGGTGTGTCTCTCTCATATCAATGTTCTCTCTCTCTCTCTCTCTCTCTCTCTCTCTCTCTCTCTCTCTCTCTCCTTCCCTCCTTCCCTCCCTTCTAGTTTCTCTCTTAAAAAAAAAATCAATGGAAAAAATATCCTCAGGTGAGGATTAACAACAAATATATATACAGGTCCCCACATTTACATGGAGAATTACAGATGCCAGGGTAGGTCCAAGGAACCTTAATTTTCCTGCCTCCTGTCCACTACCCTGGACAAGGCCAGAAGGAGCTGAAGTCTGAGGACCTCCTTTGACCCTTAACCCTTATCATTCTGCCTTCTTTCAGTCCATTCCCGGGAGATTCATTCTTCTTCCCTCCAACAGGCGTGGCTCCAGGTCTCGTGGACACCTGGCTAGCTCTCAAAACTCTGGTTCTTGGACCTGTGCCCGGCCCCCCAAGTGCCAGTATGAGGTCATTTCTGCCAGCGCTGCAGAATGCCAAGGCTCCAGCCAGGGCTCTGCTTTCCTGCCTCCCACAGAAGGAAGCAGGAAGATGATAAGACAGCAGACCACAGGGACTCCTGCCTTAGCTGGGCAGCTCAGAGCTCCAGTGGGGAAAGGAAGGCAGTCGGACAGGATGCCCTGAAGAGCATGTCTCGACTGTCCCCAAAGGCTTCAGCATGCCACAGTCCCTGAGTGCGGAGCTCTCTCCTGCCTGAGGTCACATCCTTCGCCAAGCACTGGGGAGGGGAAAAGCCGAATGGAAACAGGCCCGGCCTGGGTAGGACAGGCCCCCATGGTGGCCCGCGTGCTGACCCTGCAGGCGCAAGTCCAGCTGCCATTACCTGAGTGGGCGGGTTGCTGTACTTCCTGTCCTGAGGACTCCACATCCTGTGCAGAGAGTCCAAGGAATTCTCTGACAGTTGCTGGGATTTTCGTCCCGCTCTGCGGCTCTTTAAGTCCACATCCTCATATGGGTTCTCCTTGGGCAGATCTCCTGCAGAGGAGGAAAGGTTAGAGAGGGGGAGAAGGGAAGAAGGAAGCACGCACGCACGCTCTCTCTCACACAAATAAACAAGCAGAATTCCTGTGAACCAAAGAGAATGGCTTCTGCCTGGCCCTTCGGCTCATGAGTCATGCAGCGCCCCGTCTGCAGTGGGAGGCTACACACAGATCCTGGCTCCCAGTCCAGAAGCTGAACCCCCCACCCCCCAGTTCAGCTCAGCCTTGTCTGGCCTCTGTTTTATAAATTCAGGGATTGCACAAGACTGGCTCAGCCATCCCTGCCTGTGCCCAGCCAGCCGGCAGCGCCAACACCAGGCGTCTCTCCTTGGCTCCCTTCCCCGCTGCTGGGTAAGCTCCATAGATGCACAATTCAAGGCAGGAGAGGCTTAGGGAGGTCACGAGGCCGTTCCTTTACGGACTGCTCCCCGAGGACAGACCTTAAAGGGGAGGATGGGCTTCGAGGAACTTCCAGGGCACAGGACTTTCCCAGGCCTTGCTCTCACCCACTACCCTGCTCAGCAACTCCTTCAGGGCTGTTCTTCTGTCTGGTCCACCAAGGGAACCCTAGCCCCACACAGGGATTAGCAAGCAGTGCCGTGCGGTGATTATTTATTCAATGACCTGTTCTTGCACTGTGCCACTTCGTTTCCTGCACTGCTGAGCTCGGCAGAAAAGAGAAGGCCCTCGCTCCCCTATGGGAATACAGTCTCCTGCGTGACACAGGAGAGGCAGGAAAGGCTTGAAAGGGGCCTGGCCGAAGGGGTGGGGTTGGGGAGTTCTCCAATAGCTGGCAGCAGGCACTGCAGGGACAGGACCAGGGAATCCTCAGAGTCCAAAGCACAGCCTCTGCCTTGAAGAGCAACCCCCTCCCAGAAGCAACATCCTCCTGCCCCTTTTCCTCCAACACTTGCCTGGGCTTTTCTAAAATGCAATACTCTAGCCCAGGTCAGGCCTGCCAGAATCACGGTCCACAGGGACTGTGAGTGACCACAGCCCTCTGCTCCCCTCCATATCAACACCAACATGTGGGACCAGGGTCCTAGGCACCAGAATGAGGCATTGGAGGCAGCACACGTGGTGAGTGGGGCTCACTCCAGCTCCTCTATTCAGCAGCAAGACTGAGCCTGCGCGACCAACCAGCCCCATGGATGGCTGGGCTCACCTCATGCCCCAACGGAGTTCAGGACCCTTTTGGGGGAAGCAGAAGGGCTAGAAACAAGGGCCCCTGGAACACAAGCTTTCCGAGGCTAGGATGCAGGAGAAAAAAACAACCCTCATATGCTTACCAATGTCTTAGTTTCCAAAGCCAAGATCCCCCCTATTGCGGTAGCTACTTACTACTAGCAAGAAAAGCCATAATGAATTTAGTTAAGGTCTTTAGAGAAGGTGCGGGAGGGTAGGGAGGAGGGGACGAGTGAATGGGAGACTTCAGTCAGCGTTAGGATGACTGCCCTGGGAGCAGCACAAGTCTCTGCAGTGCGAGTCTAAGACGGGTCAAGAGAGGGTTGGGGACCAGATTAAGTGATTCCCAACACCAGCAGCGTCCCAGCAATCGAGCAGCCGTTTTCCTGTAACACAGTCATGGTATGAAAATGACTTGTCTCCATTCCAGAGCCCTGACGAAGCAGAGCTGGCCCAGCAACCCTGCCTCAGGGAGCCAAATATTAAACCTGGCACCCCCTGCAAACTGGCTCCTGCCACCCCGCTGTGGCCACTCAGGAGGCGTCAGGGGAGACTCCACTTCTTGGCCCATCTCCAGCATACTTCCTGGAGCGGTGAAGTGTGGGGGTCAAGGGTCAGCAAATACCAGGGCAGTCCTCTGGTTTGGTGAAATGAGATCAGAGCACCACCTTTGAGAAGCAGACAGGAAGAGCACTTCCTCCAAGCTTATCAAATCCACGCTGCCCTGGGCCAGAGGAGCAGCCAGGGCCCTAGCGTCATCCCCAACCCCAACCTAAGCCCTTTAGATCAGAGCTTCCCCAACTACTGGCATTTGGGCTGGATAATTCTTGTCGTGGTGGACTGTCCTGAACACGCACATCTGCAGGATGTTTAGCAGCAACCCTGACCTCAATCCACTAGAGGACAGCAGCATCCCCTCAGTTGTATTAAGCAAAAATGTCTCCTGAGCAAATGGATGGGTGGGTGGGTGAATGGATAACGGAAGAGAAGACAGGAAGGGAGGGGGGGAGGAAGGAAAGGATGGAAGGAAGAGAAATTGCTCCTCCCCCCCAATTAAGGACCACTGCTTTCATAGGAAATATAATCAATAATATTGTAATAACTATGCACAGTGTCAGATGAGCATCAGACTTATCGGGGTGATCATTTCATAAAGTACATAAATGTCTAATCACTATATTGTACATCTGAAACTAATATAATATTCTATGTCAACTGTAATTAAGAATATTTTTTTTAAAAACCCACGGCTTTATATAGATGTTTCTGGATTTCCTAATAGCTTCTGAGTGCCATGACTTATATCCCTCTTTTCCTTCATCCTTCCCTTCTTCCTCCCTCCCTCCTCATCTCCCTTCTTTCTTTCCCCGGAATCAGAGCTTTGAACATGGATACAAAATCCAAACCTGAAAAACAAACAAACAAACAAATACAGATGTAGGACACTGAGGCCCCAAGGAAGGAATAGATGTACGACATTGATGCACATTAGTGACAACCTGGGAGGAAACAGGTGGGAATGCCAGGTTCTTAACACGAATCTTGCCTCTGGAAACAAAATTTCAAAAAAGCCTCACAAGCCTGCTCCTCCTACCTGCCTAGTCCTCATATCAGCCACTGTCGTCTCCAGCAATGCTTAACTTCCTGTCTGATATAACCAGGCCGCTAATCATTTCTCCAGGAAACAGCCGCTGGCCCCAGCCCAAGCCCGCCCACCCCCCACTTCCCCAGCCTTGGCATGGGCCCTTCACAGCCCTAGTTCACCTGCTCCTCCCGGCTGCCTAGACTGTCCCTGGTTGCCCTCTGGGGCTGTCTCACAGAAATACTCCCAGTCATCTCTTCAGTAGTAAGGGTGCCAGGGGTTGGGGTGTGCAGAGACCAAACAGGCCCTGAATCCTAGAGCCACTAACGTGAACCTGCTGAGAGCAAGTTAATGTCAAAGCAATAGCTCCGAGGCTGGGGAGGAGGAGGTTCGGGGAGAAGGCTCAGTACTACCTCCGGGGAGCAGAGCCACAGCAAGGCCAGGGAAGCTAGGCCTGAGTGAAGATTTAGGAGACAGGCTGCGGGGCAGACTGCAAGGCTTTCACCTGCATTCCTGCCCTGACTTCCCTGAGGCGGCCCCACACTGCCCTGGGGGAGGAAGAAGAGGTGGCCTTCTTCCCCGGAGGCCTGGCCCTGAGCAGCCCCATCTCATCTCATCAAGCCCAGCGGGGGAAGCCAGAGGTCTCAACCCTTTCCAGCTTTGCTGATGAGATAAGGGACAAGGCATGGCCAAGAATTTCTGCTTCGAACTCTTTTAAAGGGACTGTCAGAGCCCAAACGTATCACAGAGATTCTCTGGAAGGAAGAACCCAGCCCCACCCAGTCTGGCCCCCACAGCTCCCCACAGCTTCTCTGGTAATTAACTGAACGTGCCAGCACCCACTCCTTACACACACCCAACTGGAAGAACCAGTTAGGGAAGGCGTGTGTGTGTGTGTGTGTGTGTGTGTGTGTGTATGGACAGGCACTGAGAATTTCTCCAAAGAGAATCCTAAGCTTCCTGGACCACACCCTGGGTCTGCTGCTTCTCTCCGCATCTATCTCTCTGGGTTCCAACCAGCTGTTTCTTCAGGTTTTCCGCTTCTCCGTCCCCACCCCCTCTTGCACACAGACAGTGAAGAGAGGCACAGCACATCGGGTAGAAGCTCTAAGGGGTCAGTGTTACCCACCCATCAAGCCTGGGCACCATTCCCCACCGGCCTGGCATACTGTTCCCTGGGCTGCAGCCGCTATACTGTCAGGGGCCCTCTGATCCTTACTGCTTCCCAGCCCGGGGACAAAGGAGAGAAGAGGGCAGAGGGAGGGCGGAGGCTTAGAGGGTTTTGCAGGCAGGCTGGCCAGCCTGTCCCCAGCTCCCACCCACTCAAGTTCCTGGAAACGCTCCCTCAGTCCCAGCGAGCTGACAGGAGTGGGAATTTGCAGGAATGCAGCCCGGGCTCCCTGGTCAGGCGCCCAGGCCACTCCACATAGCTCCCTAACAAGCTGCTTCCTTGGGTGCATTTTTAAGTGTCAGGCTCAGAATGCAAATGATGATAAGGCTTTGGAGAAAAGCAGCATCTTCCGGGGCAGAGGTCAAGTTGGACAGGTGAGAATTAACAGCCCCAGGAAGCAGGGAGGCAGTAACTCTGCTTCTGAAGCCCTCTATTGAAAGTCCCTCAGGACTTTCAGGATGAACCTCAGCTTGCTTTGGAGAACCCCACCCCCAGGTCCCCGGGCGTCCTGTCTGGTGTGGGAGGGAGGCTGGCAAACTCCCAAGGCCCTGGTTCAAGCCCACTGCTCACAGAGAAGACAGGCCAGCTTCTGGGCCTAATGCCCTTAGTATCTCACTGACCAGGAACCCAGTCCAATGGGCTGCTCCCCAAGGTGGAGGTTTAGCCTGGGTGCTCTTCCCTCATACAGCCCCATGCCACACACCCCTCCCAGAGCTCCGTCTATCCTGCTGTAGGTCAGGCTGGGTGATCCAAACAGAATCAGAACCGGACCCTCACATAGCACAGGCTGGGCCCAGAATCAGAGACCCTGGTCAATCTGAGGCAAAAAGTGAAAATGACATTCAGAATTCAGAAACAAAGGGCCCCTAGGACCTCTGGAGGAGGCTCCAAATCTCTGATCCTATCTCCAGAGATGGAGAAAGGGATAAATCAACCAGAGTCTAAGAGAGAGAAAGCTCCCTCTAGCCTCCCTGACCTGTGGTCAGGTCCACAAATTCAGAGCCGGCTGCTGTGGGAGCTACAAAGAAGGAAAACGGGCACTGAAGTAACGACAGACCTGGAACCCAACCACCCCACAAGGCAGAAGCAAAACCCAGGTGCCTGAGCCATTCCCTGCCCTCCCTCCCATGCTACCTCCCCCAACTCTCTACGCCAAAGATCCAGAGGCTGGTGAGCAGCCAAGGAGCATGCCCCAGCTCCAGCGCCTTACCCTGGTTCTATATCACCCGTCCAAGAAGTATCCAGGCCGCTCCTATGTTGTCTTGCTTCCTCATGCCACCTCTCAAAGCAGCAAAAAATCCCCTTGACTGAGCGAGGAGGCCCAACCCCAGACACACTTGCCTCCTTCCTCTTCTCTCTAACCTGACCTAAGAAGAACAGTTCTGCTGCTCAGGAAAGTGACTGCAAAATTCTCTCTCTCTCTCTCTCTCTCTCTCTCTCTCTCTCTCTCTCTCTCTCTCTCTCTCACACACACACACACACACACACACACACACACACACCACCAGACACCACTTCCAAACAACCCCAACCAGAGTCCTAGAATCATGGATCTCCAGAGAGTTCAAATGGTTAAAGTGTCACTTCAGTTCTGTTCTACAAGAACAACCCCCCACCTGAAATCCCTGCATGGCGCAGAAGGGCTGTGAAGCTTCTCAAAGAGAGAACAGTGAGGACGTGTGGATAGTGCCTCCTCTGCCCAATGCAGCAGCCACAAGGGCCGTGGGCAGCAATGACATTACAATTTACTCCAAACAAGAGGAAATAGGAATCATCCTTGCAGCTGAGGTGGGGAGGGTGGTGGGGTGGTGCCTCCTCTGATCCCCACAGCTCTTGACCCCAAGGCTGGGTGACCCGTGCACACAGAGCTTTTTCCCAGTTGTGAGGGACAAGGCCTCCCTCCTCAAGCCCTTTTGCTGTTGGAGGGATTTCACTCCCACAGCCTTCCAGTGATGACCTAATTTTAGATGGCTACATACTAATCACTTCCGTTCCTGGGAAAGCAGTGCCTCTGTGGATCGGATCATTGTAGCTATCGCCCCAGGGATGCTGGCCCAGCAAGTTCTAAGGAGAAAAGGGTAAGCCTGAGGGCTCACATCAAAGAGGGAATAGGTGGTCCTCTTTCCCTGAAATCCCACAGTCTCATGAAAGTCTGCAGGGTTCTCCACTGGAGCCACTTCTCTCTACTGTGTTCACTAAGGCTATGTCCCCTCCAGTGCCAAGGCCTGCGGAAGACACAGAGACAGAGAGAGGAGAGAGGATGAGAAAGATGGGCGAGATCAGAGACAGGGAGAGGAGAAAGGGATGAGCGGCAGAGACAGAGAGAGGAGAGAGAAGAGAAAGAGATGAGAGAGATCAGGGACAGGGAGAGGAGAGAGGGATGAGCGACAGAGAGAAGAGAGAGAGGAGAAAGAGTAGGCCACTTCCCTAGGACACACGCTTTACTAGAGCTGAATTAGAGCCCGCCTCCCCCAAAGAGAACGAGGCCAGGATTAAAGTGAACGCCCAAAATAAACCCAACCCAGCCTAGATTATTGGGCTTTTATTGACCCTCAAACACAGCTTGCCAACACCAAGTTCTCCCAGCTGTCGTGGACAATTCGCCGAGTTGTCTTACATTCCTGGCCTTCTCAGGAAGAGGAATTAATGGTTCCAGACTATCTTCTCAAAGATGTTTGTACAGAAAACAGCCTTGGAAGACAGGAATAGTCTCCCTCCAGGGCAGAGGCAGAGTGGATTCCTGGCCAGAGCGATAAGGATAGTGTCTCCTGATGGGCAGGTTTGCAAGCAGCCCCTTGGAAAGATTGGGGTTTCCTAAGCTGTGAATGCCGCCTCTACCTGGACCTCCTCTCCACTGCCCCATGGGACGTGGGAGGAGGGCACCCAGGCGAACATACAGCTCCTGCTGCTGCGGCTGTGCTATGAGTAATCAAGTCCTTTGCCTTTGCCTCTGATCCCGGAGTCTGCCAGCACCTGTGAAACTGGAGCCGGCTGAACTGGTTAGCCCGTAAGCAGAGGGAAATCTTAGGGGTTTTCACTTGAGGAGGTGCTTCGGTACATAGTTAACCTCATTTAATCCCAACAGTAATCCTATGACGTGCGATTACTATTATTTTTGTGGTTGCCATAACATCGTCATCTGAGAAAACAGGGGCCTCCAAAAAGTTCAGTGATTTGCCTAAGAACACAAAGCTAAGGAGGGGCACCTGTTGGACTCTCCAAAAATAAAAGAAAGAGATAATGTGGTTTTCCCCTTTTCAGGTCTTCATCTCTCAGCTGCCCAGTCCTTGCTAAACTACTTCCTCTGATGACCATTTCCTTGAGAGGTCCCAGAAGCTGGACCCTCGCTGCCCACGACTGACGAAGCAGAACCCGGAGTGTCCCCCTCCTGCTCCTGTTCTGCTGCAGCCCCCAGAGGTATCCCCACCGGCCACCCGGGCCACTGCTTACCCACAATGTCTTCATAGGCATTCTCTTCTAAAGTGCTTTTGGATCCAAACTTGGGTTGGCTCTCAGTACCATTCTCAGTGGGAGAAGAGGGGTACAGGGACTGGAGACTGGATGCATCCTCAAACTCAAAGGATTTTCTGTGGATGACAAGAACAAGAGTCATTCCAGCTGAGCTAGACGCCTACTGCCTTGTTGGGGAACAGCCATGGGCAACAGCAAAGACCAGATGTCCTGCTCCCAAGACCAGCTACTGAGCAAAGCACTAAGATGGGTCCAAACTCTCCACCCAAGTGAAGAACTAGATGGTCTGAGAGGTCCCAGCCTGGAGGACTGCAAATAACACCAATGATGACAACACAGGTAAAAGGCTGCCTCAGCTATCTCACAATGCCCGCCACTAGGTATTGTGCCATGAGGAGATGGAGGCTCAGAGAGATGAAGTAGCAGAGGCAGGACTAGCCCAGGACCTCTGACTCCAGACTCTGAGCTTTTGACTTGGACCTCCAGGCCTTCAGGATAACCTCCTTGAGAAGCACCTACCTTCAGAGTCTCACTTCATGTAAGCATCCTTGCGAGTGCTCCTGCACTGAGCGGCCTGTAAGGGCTCAACACTGGACGGGTGAGTCCCAGGGTTGTGTGGGGGTTGGGGAAATAGTTGGTGGTAGGTGGTTTGTTGGAACAGGAAGTGCTGAGCCCTCAAAATCAACCACACCACTTCTGAGGTGGAAGTAGGAGGGAAATCTGCAGCCAGAAGCTACTTCCAAGACCCAGCTTTCCTGCAGTTACTCACTAGCTCAGTTCCAACCTCCAAATCACCTCCTCAACTGTAGAATTTCAAAACCACAGCTTGTCTGTGCCCCAGAAACCCTGAGCCACAGTACTCTCTACTCCTCTCCTTCAGTGGGGAGGCACTTCCCCAGCTAAGACTTGACTCCAGCTGCATCCTCTCCCTCTCCAAGGCAGGGCCCCAGCAGGCTCCTGGGAGGGAAAGAAGGCAAGATACTCATTGAATCTCTCCTTTTACCCCGACACCTCCCTCTTTTTTTAGGTACGTTAGACCGTTCAGCCAATGAAGTCCTCTCTCTCTTCCTTAATGAACAACTCCTGGTAAGAATCCTGAGGTGCAAGTCAAGGACTAAAGGTGTCCCACAGACTACATCTCGTGCTCAGTCTGCCTGGCTGCTCTGCACACAACTGAACACTCGATGCTGCCACCGCCTCCCCTCACCTCTATGACATCGTCCCTCCTAGTTTTCAAGGGCCTCTCTGGCAATCTTTTTAGGCTCTTGTGAAGGATCCCCTCTTCCACTCACCTTTCAAATGCCAGGGTCTCTGAGGGTTCTGTTTTCAGAATTCTTGCTAACTCAGCACTCTTGGGGGCCAGATACTGATGGCCATTTTTACCATGACGACTCCCAAATCTCTGTCACTGGCCTAGACTTCTCAACCACTTAATATCCAATGGCTGAGGGCAATGGTTCCTGGATTTTGCCCCTCAGACCATGACTGGTCTGAGACCAAACTTCCATTAATACAGAGTATTCCCAAAAATGTATACACACTTTAACAGCTGAAGCTCAATTTTGAAAATGAAATGTATTTTTAGTAAACACTGCCTTTATAATTATTCAATTATTCAAAGTGTGTATATACATTTTGGGGTCTCTCTCTCTCTCTCTATATATATATATATATACACATATATACATATATATGTACACACACACACACACACACACACACATATATATATATATATATATATATATATATTAGTGTTGTCAACATCTTAGGCAGATAGTTCTCAAGTCAGCAAATAAGACATAAATCATGAAAATCCCTCAGGAAGGTACCATGTCAAAGGTCAACACAGAGTCTTTCATTAAGACTAATATCATTTCTCCACCAGATTTATTTTTCTTTGTTTGAATACCAGAAGAAATCTATTTTTAAAAAATATGTTAAACATAAGAATAAGAATCATACCTGCACAACAGATACAAACTTACCATTTCATGCTCCTCAGGGAAATATGCCCACTGTGTGGAAAGGCAAATGAAACAGCCTGTACTTTATGAACCATTTTCCCCCAAGAGCACGGATTTAAATTTGCCAAGTTAATTCTTATATGAAGTGAATCCACCATATATGGTGTATGTGTGTGTACATATTGTGTATAAATATAACCTCCAGGCTGATCTACCGTCTCCCCAACGCCTTATTTCACCTAGCTCACTGCTTTCTGCTGCTCTCAATTTAGCTCAGCAACCCCAAGAGCAACCCCAATTTAGCTCTCACCCCCACCCCCAGCAAATTTAAAGACCCTCTGGGTCTCTGCAGGTCCCACACTGACATGGGCCATGGCGTGCATGTCGCACAGCATCTATGCTTTATTCGTGCATCTTTCTCCTGCACCGGACCATGAGCTCCTTGAATGGAAGAACCCTGTCTTATTTGCCTGGTATCCTCTTGACCAGCACAAGCTGGCTCTAACTAGGTGGTGTTTATAGAGGTGGGTGAATAGACCAAGCAAGCACTCTTGGTGGGCTGTTAAAGACTTGAAGAGCCAGTAAAGCATGTGAGTGGGCCAAAACGTAGGATTATCCTTGGCTCTGTGGCTCCTGGGTCTGAACCTCTGTGATATCCTCCTCCTTGCACATGGTGGGAAAGGTTCTCTATGAGATAGGATTTTCTGGAGAAAGCCTGAAGTATGGGGTCAGACTGAAGACTCCCTACAAGTGAAGTAAGCCTGGTGCCCACCTGACGTTGGGTTAGAGGAGAAAGGCTGAGGGGTAGGAACACGGGCCTTCCAAAGGAAGTTGGCTCACAGTCTACTCCAATTCAGAGACTAAGATGCCTGCCAGCTTTCACCAACTCCAATAGCTCCAATGCCCAAGGCACCATCATGGTGATGATGGTCTGGGTAGTCAGGGTCAGGAATGCTGAGACTGACCAGAAAAAACAATGTGAGTCTCAGGTCAGTTCATTTTTAAACTTGGCCAAGAAGTAGATCACTCCTTTTCCCTTCAGGATCCAAGGAGCCCCTTTTCATACAGGCCCGGGTTTTCATATGGCCAGCCAGCCCTCAGGGAAGAGGAAATCATGTTAAATGTGTCCATACTGTTGTGTTAATGATAACACGCAGTATTCAGATAATGCTGCGCTCAAAGAACTTTTGAGTGCTGGCCCTTCAGGTAGTCATGAGGCTGAAGTCCTACCTGTTTGATCTAAAAGTAACATGGCCCTACCTTCCCCAAGAACACGGAGGAAGTTCCAGTGGGGCTCAGTCGCAGCCCAACTCTACTCCGAAGGCCAACCCAGCCAGCGTGTTCAGTACTGAACATTTGGAAGAAGCACACTCTCCCCACCCCCATCTCTCCCACACCCATGTTTCAGTATCCTTCTCCAGCAAGAGTAGAAGAACAATCTCTTTTTCTGCTGGCTCCGGTTACCACCTGACAGTCATCCGGTGCTTCAGAACTTACAAAAAAAAAAAAAAAGCATGACTGACTTTGACCCTGACTACAATCTGCTTTTGCATCCTCCATTAGAAAGAAAGCCATCGTGCCAGGACCACGCGTTACCTGCTCTGGGACTTGCGGTGACCACGCATGTCCTTCTTGGGTCTCCGGGTGACCGGTGGGGCCGGGGTGGAGGGCAGGGGAGGTGGAGCAGCAGGTGTGGGCGAAGGAGGTAGACCATTGCTCGGCTTACTCTTAGGGTTCTTGTCGGCCTCGTATTCAAAGGTGCGCTTGGGTTTGGGGACAGGATTCACAGCGGAGTCGGGGGAACTCTTTGATGGCAGCAGCTGGGCACTTGGGCTATTTCCAGGGCTCCCTGGCTTCGTGGAGCCGCCGCCTTCCCTCTCCAGGGGTGGACCCGCCTCCCCCACAGCTCCAGCCACTCCTCTTGCCCGGCTGCTGCTGGTGCTCACACTCGTGCTCCCCGTCAGTTCCTCCAAGGTGCCCAAGGTCCCCGTCTTCCTTCTTCCTCGGTCTACGCTGTAGCAGCTGCTGGGGAGCTGGGGGAGCCCCCGGCCCGGCTGCTCCTTCAGGGCCTGTTCAATCTTCTGGATGCGACTCAGCACTGCTGAGCTCTCCTTCCTGCTGCCGTGCCCCCTGAGGAAGGCACCGGGCTCACCCCGGCCTGGCCACTTCTCCAGCCGGTAGAAAGAGTCCCGGACAGGGAGTGCCTCTCCTTCCTCCTCGGTCTCCGGGTAGGAACACTCGGAGAAGGTCCTGCTCATCCTCCGGAGGCCCTTGAAATCAAAGGTCTTTTCTGAGCTGCAGGGGGACGGCACGACGCTGGGACAGCCCACGCTGGGGCAGCCCTCACTGGCCGCCCACTCGCCCCCAGAGCCCTCCCGCTTCTCCCCACACGCGCTCATCCTGGGCAAAGTCTCTCGGCGACCCTCCCATGCTGAAATCTTCTCCCGGATGCCCAGGCTGTGGGCACGGGCGCCAGTGCGGGTCTGAAAGATGCTCCGTGGGTTGGATGCCGACCCCAGGGATGGAGTGCTGTGGGCAAGGGGGAGGCAAGCAGCTACTCCCTCTACATCCTGGCCCGCCCCCAGGACAATCTCCTTCTGGTCCTCTCTCTTGCACACGGAAGGGCTGCCGTCCAAATAGCTGAAGCTGGTGGCCTTGAGGGGACAAATGGGTGGCGAAGAAGTGTCTGGGGAGGAAGCCTGAGGATTTGGAGGTGAAGGCTCACGGGGGTGCCAGTCCTTGAGGAGCAGCCGGGAGCTGGAGCGGCTGGGGTACCTGCAGGCTGCCGCTTCACTATCGCTGAGGGGGTAGATGGGACTCCTTGGTGGGGAGAGAACTGGAGGTGGAGAGACTGACTGAGACCTAGGGCAAAAAAAAGAAAGAGAAAGAAGAGAAAACGGCAGTGAGAGGCCTGACCGCCAGAGGCATCGTGTTTTAATCCCGGAGAACTCAGTGGCTCCTCCCAGTAAGACTCTCAAAAGCATTCGATTCACGTAATGCACCTTCACAGCTGTCCTCAGGGAAAGAGCGGCTCCTGGCCAACAGCAGGCCCCTCTGCCCAAGTCAACCCCCGAGACCCTGGGACTGCCTGCAGCAGAAGCCAGTTCTGTGACAGCAGTAGCATCCCGGAAGTTCACATCTGCCAACTAGATTCAGAAAGACCAGTGGTGTGCTGCTAAATTAACAACCACTCTCTGGAGAGAAAGCACAGATTTGTATCATTTGCCAGGTTCCACAGTATAAATATTCCTACGAAGGCTGATTCCAGGCTATCAGGGTGACGATGTCACTGAGTGAGAAGTTGGGAAGTGATGCGAGTGATCGGTCCTCATAAGCTGGCACAAAGCAGCTTCAGCCAACAGTTCCTGAAGTCGCCCCCAAATATCACTCCTTTGATGTGCCTCCTTAACAAGCCCCCATCTCCCCTGAGACTTCTGCTACTGGACACAGATACTGCTCCTCAGCTTGGGTCTCGATCAGAATTCGGATCCCTGAAGGTCTCAACAGAATCCATGAGGAGGCTAATGAGGAGAGGAGGACCCCTCCAGCTCCTCTCTCCAGCAGTGGCAGCCCATCAGACAAGCACCGTCCATTTCCCAGCTCCCAATCCACATACAGATCTTAGCGAATATCAGGAATCATTCTAAATAAATGCTTTTGCATAAATTAACTCATTTAATCTTCATGACGATTCTATAGTGTGATTATCATTTATTATTATCCTCATGTTACAAATGAAAAACACTAAGGCACAGAAAGACTATCTTATTCAAGATCACTCAGTCGGTAAGTGATGAAGCCACGACACAAACTCACACTACACTAAGCTGCCTCTCTAAAGAGGAAGCAATGGCCCCCGCCACCTTCGTGAACCATCCAGGCCCCCACGGAGCTCAGCAGACACTCCCACAACACTGGGCACAACCCTGTCCTGAATGCAGCATTTGTAAGTAACAGAGGACCTCTTGGTCTTCCCTACTAGACCATGATTTCTTCCAGGTGGAGGAGCCCATGCTCAGTATCTGGAAGGTTCTCAGTGAATGATAAAGAAAAAGGTAAAGGTGGCTCTGGCCGGTGTGGATCAGTTGGTTGGGCGTCGTCCCATGCACCAAAAGGTTGCTGGTTTGATTCTCAGTCAGGGCACATGTCCTGGTGGTAGACTCATACCCCAGTAGAGAGCATACAGGAGGCAACTGCTCCTTGTCCAAGGCAGCCAATTTATGTTCTGCTCTCACATCGATGTTTCTCTCTCTCCCTCTCTCTTCCTCTCTCTCAAAAGATCAATTTTTTTAAAAAAAATTTTTCAAAAAAGGTAAAGGTAAGCTTATCAAAGAGAACCAGGAACATACTTCCTTTTCAGCATATTTTTCTAGTTGTCTACTTGGGTAATCATTGTCAACTTTCGGAATTCTTCCCAAACAGTCTTCGTTCAAAGCCAGCGGGGCTTTGCTAATACAGCGGGCTCCGGAGGCGCACCTGACCCTAATGCCATGACCCTTGAAGCTGGGCGGTCAGCCTCCCAGGCTCGAGTGCCATGCCAGCCACAGGACAGCAGCCAGCTGCCCCTGAGCCAGGCTGCTGTCACGGCTTGCTCATACACAGAAAACTGGAGCTTGAGTGAGTCAGGGATTGGCCAACAATTCCCTGTTGGGTCATAGCCTCTGGCTGCCCCCGAACAACAGGAAACCTCAACATGCTCAAGTTGTTTTTAAAAGGGCAAGTCAAACAAGAGCCATCCCACGTGTACCCGGGCACAGCTGAGAGAAATTCAGTTGCCTAGCCAAGCTGATGACCAAAGAGACTCCGGTCAGCAAGGAGGTGTGAACAGAATAAGCCTCAGCGCTCCCTAGAGTAGGGAGCTGCAGGGCAGTGTGCCAGGAGTGAGCCTGGGGAGATCCCAACCTCCTCACAATGAGAGAGGCCTCGGGTCCCTCACTTATTCGACAGAACCAGGGATGCAAAGGTCATCAGTCCAGCCCTGTAAGCCAATGAGTGTCTGTGCGACACAAAGGACTCTATGTTCCAGCTAACCTCAGATGGAGAAGAAGTCTTTAATAAAGGATAACTTTATCCTTTGTCTTTTCATCCAACAAATATTCAGTGATCACGTACTATGTGCCAGGCCCTGCTCTTGGAGCTGATAGAAGAATAAATAAGAGACAAAAATCCAAGTCCGAGTGAAGCTTCAAGTCTAGTGGGAGATGACAGGCACCTAATGAGACTCGGAATTTCTTAGGAAGCCTTTTCAGATTATGTATGGTCATCTCTGCAGACATGTTGGCATAGGCTCCTTTAGGGATATGTCTGTTCAAACCCCAAGATAAGAATTCGCCAGCCCATAAAGCTACTGTTATTTATGGGAAGGTGAGGTGGCAGAAAAAATGGTGATGACCTCCGGTCTGTCTAATTTCAGCAAGCTCTTAGAAAGAATCAGTTTTAACTTTCCATGGTAGCTTTAGCACGCGTCAAGTGTTAAGAAATTCAATGGCCGAAACCGGTTTGGCTCAGTGGATAGAGCATAGGCCTGCAGACTGGAAGGTCCCGGGTTCGATTCTGGTCAAGGGCATGTACCTTGGTTGCAGGCACATCCCCAGCAGGGGGTGTGCAGAAGGCAGCTGATCAATGATTATCTCTCATCGATGTTTCTAACTCTCTATCCCTCTCTCTTCCTCTCTGAAAAAATCAATAAAATATATATTTTTAAAAATTCTCTTAATGCCTAGCCTGCTTTCACTGAGGTTTCGTTTCTCTCCTGTCAGGAAGGATAAAACAGGGAAGAAACTGGCCTTTTCCTTTAAAGGTCCTGACCCCTGCTGACCTGGGGCCCAGAGCTGCACACGCAGACACTCACCACACAGAAGGCGGCATTCACTCAATCCAAGGTCCTAGGGATAAATTTGTCAGCAATGCAGAAAAGGCCCTGCCCTTCTCTCCATGTTTCTGATTCTACCCCTTTATCGGGATTGTGAGCATGGGCAAAGCCACTCTCTCTCTCTCTCTGAGCCTCCAGTTTCAATTTCTCAAAATGGGGCTAACTACATCCCTGGGTTTGTCATAATGGGCAAATGAGGCTTTGGATGTGAAACACTGTCATACACTGTAACTCACTTGGACATACTGAGTTTTTCAGCAGGTTACACTCGGCCGATTGTTCTCAGCAGAGGGTCAGTACATCATGGCCCTTGACAAGTTACTACTGACTCTGAGCAAACAACCTAATCTCTCTAAACTTTCTTTATCTGTCAAGCGGAGGTTAAAAGAATGTATCTCAGAGGATTGTTGTAAGGAATAGTGACAGCACGCGTCAAGTGTTGGATCTGTGGCTAACACACAGCACTCAATCTTCACTTGGTAATTATTGATATTAACAAGGAGCTGACTATTCAGACTAATCGCTTGGCAAACTTTGTCAAGCAGCGTACCTCTCTGTCCTTAGAGTCTAACTATTCTGGGTGGAGGGGAAGGGAATGAACTAAATATAGCCATAAACTCTTTGCAGCTCATGCTAACAAAAGGAGGAATCTGTCTTCCTGCCCTTTGAATCTAGACTGACCTTGTGATTTGCTTTGACCAATAGGATGTGGTGGAAATTAAGCTGTCCGGGTTCCAAACCCGAGGCCTCAAGTGGTCCTGCAGGTTCCCCCTTCACACGCTTGGCACACTGCCCGGAGACTGTCACGTAAGGAGGCCCGGCTGGCCTTTTAGAGGATGGGAGGCCACGTGGAGCATAATCAAGGCACCTCGGCCAACAGTCAGCCACCATGTGAGCCGGACACATGAGTGAGGTCATCTTGGACCCAAATGAACCCAGCTAATGAGTGAGCCCAGGGGAAACCTAGAGAGGAACTGCCCAGTGAATGCACAGAAATGTGGGGAGGGTGGGGAATCAATTGTTCTAAGCCACTGTGTTTTAGGGTGGGTTGCTACAATGCAATAGTAAAATGACGCAAATGGAAGAGGCCAGGCTTCTGTGAAATTGCCCTGCCCCACCTCCAGGCCTCCCTCGGCCACGTCCCATCCACACTTGGACTGAGTGTCTTCTCACATGGTCTCATCCCTGGGCTCTTTGTGCTTCCTTTGCCCCTGACTCTTCCTGCTGCATATATTTCCAACTCATTCCACACAGGAAAGGAGAGGTCCACATTTGTTCTTTTTTCCAAGCATCTGGATCCAGCTCCTCCCCCCACCCCAAAAAAAAACACAAAAAAAAAAAAAACACACTGACCTACTTGATGACTAAACCATATCAATTCTACATCCTCATGTCTCTCAGATCTACCTCCCTCCTCCACCCTCCCGCTCCTGCTACTTCCTTGGTTCAGATCTTATCTCTCACCAAGACTATTAAAACAGTCTCTTAAATTCCCTCTCTGCTTTCTATCTTAACCCAGTTCAAGTCCATCCTTTTATCTTCTGACATTTTTATAAAATGCAAAGCTCAACATGTTTGCAACTCCCCATTCTCTACAAGTCGAAATGCAAATTCACTGGCATGGATGGCAAGGGCCCCCTTGATCTGGGCACCACCTGTTTTTCCTTTGTCATCTCTTACTGTCTTTTCCTCAATACAAACCTGTGCCCCACCCTTAGCCACATCAAAATCCTTGCTTTTCACACCTCCAGGCCTCCACACATTCTGTTTCCTTTGCCTGGAACGATGGCCTGTCCACAGCACATCTCTGTAGCTCCTCCATGGATTCTCTCTTGACCCTACCCCCACTCACACAGGTGGAGATGGACAACTGTTGATGCCTCCACTGTGCCTGGAAAAATGTCTATTATGGGATTTGTAACAGTTCATTGTTTCCTCACCTGCCTCCCTTACTAGGCAGTGTCTTGTTTATTTTGATATCCCCTGTTTG